TAGAGCAAGACATCTGTATAAACAATTTTTATATACATATGTATGTACATATATTTTCAGCTAGACGGCCAGGTGTGCATTGCATGCCCACCGTGCTGCAAACGTTCCTTTTGAAACGAGTATCCACATGACTCACCCTCACACTTACACATTGAAAATATATGTGTGGAACTTACGCTCCCCATTGCGATTCTTCTCTGTGAAGTGTTTGTCTTCCAAAACTTATTTTTCATTGGTGTAATGATTTTTCCTGGGGCTTTGAGCGATATTTAATTAAGAATGTCGCACAAAGAAGGGAACGAGGTCATTTGCTGATTTTGCATTTATATTATATTTAACCTTCTTGAACGTAACATATAATATTTACCAGAAAAAATAACATCTGACCGCTTTAATCATAAAAACGGTCTTAATAAGATCCGTCCGTATGTCCGTTTCCGATAGGAATATAGGATTTAATAATTTCAATTTGATAACAGTGGGAGCGTAAGCACTGGGACCGGGGAAGCATACCATTTGCTCAGCTGGGTACAGGGTATACGCAAGTCATGCGACCCCGATTAGAGCACTCTTGTTTAGCTGAAATACTGAAAGCCTAGCAGTAGTATTTTTATCAATTAGGGCTTACACATAATTTTCATTTTATTGGACTTTATTATTTTATGAATTGTACTATATCGTATTTAGATGGATGGCACCTGTGAGGATCAGTGTCAACGTTTGGAAAATCTATTGCGCACGAGTGCCCAGCAATTGGATGACAGGGACAAACGCTGCCTGCAACAGTTGCTGATGTGCGTACAGCAACTCGATCTGGATGCAATGGCCGAACAGGATAGCTGGCAGGCAACGGTGAGTATATAAAACAATATGTTTTGATTACATAAAAGTCAAGGCGTATGTCAGAAAGTCAGAAGTTGGGGACAAGTCGTTTTGAAACGACAAGATTTACATTTTAACCGCAACAAAAGAAAACAGTTTTTTTTAATCGTTAAGAAAATCAATAGAAACCCGAATTAAAAATTCAAGTGTGGTCTCATTTTGCTGCCTTTGCAGACGAAAACGGAACCACGTGCGAGGCACAGCCGCATCGTAGCCACCGTACAGCCGTATAGTAACAGTGCCACACCCAGTGCGCCCACAACGCCAAGCAAACAACTGCAGCGAACTGGCAGCAACGCCTGGCAGAGCAGCAGCCTCAGCGAAAGCGGTGTCTTTGTCGAGTGCGATTTATCCGCAACGTCAACGGAACGCGAACCACATCCCCACCTTCAATATTATCAGGAGCGTCTCATCCAGTTGGAAGGCAAGCTCCTGGTCTATGAGAGCAGCGGCGAAACGCAGGCAAAGCATTTGGCGGAGCGTCTGCAACGTGAGCTGCAGCTGAATAAGCAGGTGAAGGAGCTGATCGAACGTGTGGAGGTGCTTGTGGAGCAAAACGCGCTGCTGGACGAGGCCAAGTGTGAGTTTGAGGAGGCGGAGAACGATACACGCCTACATTTGCAGCGTAACGAGGAAGAACTGGAAATACTGCGACAGCGTAACGTGGAGCTAGAGTTCGGAAAGGACGCTTTGGGCGCTAAGTATCGGGATTGCCGTGCTGAGTGTCTGATATTGCGCGAGGACCTATGTGCCGCCGAGACTCAGCTGGAGCATCTGCGGGCGGAGCGACAACGTGCCAAGCAGCAATTGGAGAGTTTGCGCCGATCAATTCCCCTACTGCTAATTTACCACCTATTGGCGCTTGCTAGGATTAGCCCTGGTACCAAAAACATGGGCAATGAGGAATCCCTGCCACAACGCACACAAGCTGGCGCTGCCAAGCCGGCCTGTGGACCCTGCAGTTCTGGTAAACTCAAGCAGAGCATTATTAACAGCTGCGCGAATGCCACGCAGGATCCAGGCGCCGCGCGTGAGATTAATTATCTAAAGGATGAGATCAAGACTTTGCGTTGTTCCCTTAAGGACCTCAATACGCGTCATTATGAGGCCATGGAAACGGCCGACTCGCACTGGGTCGATCTGGAGCGTGAGTACAAGTCGCGCGAGGAGGCCTATCGTACCAAAGAGGTGTGCCTGAAGCAGAAGATTAACAAGCTGCAGGATTGCCTGCGCGATGATTCGCGCGCTGCTGCCGAGAAGATACAACAGTTAGAGGAAACTGAGCATGGACTGAAGACGTGCCTGGTGCGTCTCACCAAGGAGCATCGCGATCTGATGGAACAGAATCGTGCGATGGAAAAGGAAATGGAAAGCCGTGCGGCCGCGGAACGTCTCGCTACGGAGCAACTGCAGCCACTGACCGAAGAGCTGGAGAATGAGAAGCGACGCTGTCAGACGCTGATCGACGATCTCAGTTTTGCCAAGAAGCTACAGCAGAGCATGGAGGAGCAGCTAAAAGCGGAAACTGATTGCCTACGCCAGCAGATCTACGATCTGAAGAAGGAGCTAATGCACATCGAGGTGACCAATGGTGAGCTTAAGGAGGAGGTGCGCACGCTGGAGGCGAAAATTGCTGAAATGGAGGAACAGCTGAAAGCGTGCGAGGAGCGTGCATGTTGCCTAGAAGATGAGCTGCGCACAAAGGATGAGCTAGTGCAACGACTGGAGAAGAAGCTAGGCGTCTGCCCCGAAGGCTTTAGCCTGGCCGATGAGCTCTACGACAGTCCGGAGAAGCGTGCAAAGCGTGAGGAGATCAGAGATCTAGAGGCAGCCAGTCAAGGCCTGGGCTGTGCTTTGAGGGATTTGGAGGTAGGTCTTTATATCGTGCACTTATTAAAAATTATATATATATATATAAGAGTCGCAAATAATCCTCTTTGACGACGAGCTGTCTGTCTGATCGTCCGTATGATCATGTCAAGCATATAACTTGTATTTATAAGGTTTTTGCACATTTCAGTGTACCGGGCAGAATGAGGCAACACACAAGTCTCTAGAATTAAGAAACACTAATTTTTGAAGGTGTTTGTGTGTCACAATTGGTCGCATCAAATTTTATAACGACCTTACCATAAATGCGGAAGCTTTTGATGAAAGCACTTCCTATAATGTGTCAATGGTAAGAAACACAGGGAAACACAGAGATATGGATGGAAACTAGTAAAGGGTTTCTGTTAGTCGGGCCGTCTCTCGTACTGTACCATTTTCATACTTAGTATAGTTATGAAAATAGATAAATTAAATTCTGGCTTAAGTTTTATTCTGTAGGATTCTTGACAATATTAAAAAATGCTAGTTTTGGTTTTTTGTTGGCACATAAACACATAATGATATGACACAACCGCTACTTATGGAGGTGAAATCTGTTCCTTTTGTGGACTTGAGCACTTTTCCTAAATACATGGATTTTCCTTTATTAAATGTGTGATATTTTCTTTGTAGCGCCGCGAACGTGAGCTGCCCACGCACAAGGACTTCCAGACGATAGCCTGCAGTGTGAAGCAGTTGGCGGATACCATTCTACACGCCCAGAAGCCACCGGTGAGTGAATGTGAATGTGAAGGTGCTCAAGAGCGACCACCTTCTCTATGTAAGACATCTGAATCGAAGCGAGAGGGTGAGAAAGGGGAGAAGAAAGAGGGCGATAACGACGGGGAGGCAGATGCGGCAAAGGATGCCACTGAAAAGGCGGCCGACGTGGAGGCGCCCACAGAAGGGGCTCCCGCTGAAGAGGCGCCCACAGAAGGGGATCCCGCTGAAGAGGCGCCCACCGCAGAGGCACCCGCCGAAGGGGCGGCCGCTGAAGAGGCAGCAGCTGCTGACGAGGATGCTGCTGAAGCAGAAACCAGCGGCAATGTCACCCCAGGGCGAACTGCGGGTGGCGGATTGTCGGGAAGGGAGGGAATTGGCATAACCCGGATTGGCAAGCAGCTTAAGCAGCAAATCTGTGAGGTGCCCACAACACTGCGCCGCCTGATATATGGCAAGCAGTTGCCGCAGTTGCAGCAGCCGATCCAGTCAATGGATCTGCAAGTGAATCTCAAGAATCAGCTGCAGGAAGCACGTTTGGAACGGACGCAGCTGCGTCACAAGCGTCAGCAGTGCAAGCGCTTTGTTAGTCATCGCCTCTATCGCGGTCGTGTGCGACGCAGCGGCGGCACCAGTCGTCCAATTGAGATGAACCTCCATCACAGCTATTCCGTTGCTAGTTTCCATTCAGCAGCCTCGGTGCACACGGCGCACACGGATTCAGCGCCTGCAACAACGCGCACACAGTATGTGGAGATCATCGACGCACAGTGGGAGCAGGCGCAGCTCAATGGCCTGGCCCAGACGGATCCCATCAGCTCACAAAGCCAGCTGGTGCAGGTGATGCCGCAGGTGTGTGACCAGCAGCTGCAGACGGAGTGCAACACCCAAGAGTGTGGCATACAAGCGGAGAATGTATGCGTGGAGGCGCGTCTACTGCTGTTGCCGGGCAGAACACGTGCATTTATGCAGCTGCTGCAGGAGTGCATCAATATTGAGGATGACAACTTTGGCGTGGATGTTTTCCGGGCACGTGTGCTGCAGCTGTGGGAGGGTAGCGAAGAGTTTCGTGACCATATCGAGCTGCTGCAGGATCTGTGCACCGATCACACGCGTGCAGGCGACACACCCGAGCTTTATGAGAGCTACGATGTATTCGTGGCCGTGCTGGGCTGTGTGCGTGCCCTGAAATTTGCTCTCAAACCAAGCAATTCGCCGTTGCTGCACCAGCTGGAGGAGCGCATCAATGAACGTTTGATAAGTTTTCATAATCATAAAGTCGAATCGGAATTCTATTGCACCATCTACTATCCGGTGGAGCGGCATAATCCCTTGAAATTCGGCGAGGATACGTGAATACCAAATTATCCGAAGTTGCCGCCAGCTTCAGCTTAGCTTAACTGGCGAGTTTTTGCCGTTGGCGTTCAGAGTTATTTTTTGTACAAACCTTGGGTTACACTTCAAATCCTCTTTCGAATTAGAGTAATTTCAAAATTGTGTGTGCGTGTGTAAATAAATTAAAAAGAAAAAACCAAAAAAAAATACAAACAATGGAGGACATCTTTTTTGACTGCTGCAGCGAGGGTGAAGCCGAATGCGAGACTGTACTCATGCAGCGTGAGGGCATACTCAAGGCTGGAAAAGGGGACGCTACCGACCACCGTTTATTGCAGAGTAAACCCAGCAAGTATGATGATCCCATGCAGATACGCGATATATTACATCGTGCCGCGAATAGTGCACAGATACTGCTACGCGGCCTGGGTGGGCATTGCGAGTACACGAGGTTAGAGCCACAGGGATGCATGTGCTTCTATCCGGCAACGTTGGAGATCACCACACGAGTTCAGACGGAATCGTCGTGTGGCTGTCCCCCGCATTGCCAATGCATACTGCGCGGCAGTCCAGTCACCCTGAAGCTTCCCATGGAGCTGAATCCGCACAACGGTCAGGTCAATGTGAACATATTTCAGCCGAGACCGAAGCAATTGACTGCTGCCGGCGAAGGCGTCGGCGGTGGCGATAGGCGCTCCTCTAATCCCCCTCCAAGTAACTTGCAGCGGCATTCACAGCGACGCGAAGGCCCTAGGAAAATCGGGCGTCGTGTGCGTTGGGATGCTTAGGAGCTATGGCGGCAGTTCTTCCAGAGTTTTGTAACTCCAGTGAAAAGAGTGGGTTTTGTTGCCAATCACCAGTGACGAGCTTGGATATGTGTTATTGCAATTCGATAAAAGGCCAGAGCAACAAAATGTGGTGAAAAGCATAAGACAAACTCTACGGTTTACACATCAGGACACAGCTTGGAGCTGCGTTTGTAAATTTTGATAACGGTCAAAAGCGCGCCTGGCTTATGGATATCACTCGTATTTGAAATTATATTTTTGTAAATTCAGTTCGATTAAATAAGCAACATATGAGTAGGCAGTGTTTTTGTTGCGGTGCCTGACAAATGGGTTTTGGTTCAGTTCATTTTAATTATTTCAAGGAGCAACATCGTAGAATAAATTTCATGTAAATTCTTATATTAGTTGGAATACATTTGGAGGCATAGTCCATTTAGTCATGGACAAGGACAGGAATAAAACGAATGCCAATAAGAATGTATCGTGTTCTGCTGCACGATGCAAGAAACCAGATACCTGCGTCCATTTGCGCAGCCTTCGCCAGCAGCAAATTAAAGCGGGCACCTCCACTCAAGTACTCTATCGTGGGCCCAATTTTCAGGCACAGCGCAGCGATGAGGATATCTTTTTCGATTGTCTTAGTATTGGCGACACTGATTTTCCCCGGGAGGGTCACAGCTGCAAAATGTTCGCCAGCTGCAGGACGATCACTAGCACCAGCCCCACAATGTGCAGTAAGACCTCTACTAAAAAGGGAACATCCAGTTGTAAAACAACCTCCACCTGTAATGCGTCAGCCAGTAGCAAATTCGATGATCCGGTGGTCGTTCGCGAAACCCTTGAGCGTGCTGCAAATGCCACGCAAATGCTGCTACGAAACTTTGAGAGGAATAAGCGGGTGTGTAAACGACCGTGCAGCGCAACTCTGGAGATAACAGCGCGTCTGTTAACCGATCCCAAAGAAACCAACTCAAAATGCCGTCTAGAGGGCAGACCGGTAACCGTTCAAATGCCACTGCATTTTGATCCGAATACGGGTCAAATGGTCACATGCCAGCCACGGCCTATTGAGAAGGAGACGCCAGGCAGCTCAAAGCAGACGTGCACAGGTAGGGATACCAGCAAAAAAACTTTTAAGCCGTTAAGTGACGCAGCGGACGTAGAAGATGACTACAGCATGTTTAAGGGATCATGTGGTCCGTCCATTGAGAGCATTGGGCTGGCCCCAGTGATAGTGCCCCTACCGGTAGCGATGCCAGTGCCAGTACCAGCGCCAGTGCCAGTGCCAGTGCCAGTGCCAGTGTCAGTACCAGCGCCAGTGCCAGTGCCAGTGCCAGTGCCAATGCCAATGCCAGTGCCAGTGCCAATGCCAGAGCCAGAGCCAGTGCCAGAGCCAGTGCCAGAGCCAGTGCCAGAGCCAGTGCCAGAGCCAGTACCGGAACCCCTTCCCACGCCAGAAGCAGTACCTGAACCAGAGCCTGAACCCGAGACCGAATCAGAACCAGAAACAGAGAAATTGCAGAAAGTTGTGACGATGTCAGAGTCGGAGACAGAAGTGATTCTGACACCAGAACACGATCTAACACCAGAACCCTCGAAAATAGAGGGGCCTGTTAAAAAGTATTTTCTGGCCTTGCCGCAGCATAAGGAGTTCTCAAATTGTTCACCTTGTCGGTTTGAGCCTAGCCCCATTATGGACGAGGATGGTAACGTCTTCTGTCCGGGCAATTGTGGATGCTGTCAGTGCCCGTGGAAACGACGTTCCTTTGATGACAATCGCGACCGCATTAATGTGAAGGTCTGCCGCTGCGTACAGCGCGGCACCATTTTCTCCAACTTTGATGAGCGAGAGACTTGCAGTCAGACATCCTATTTTGACTTTTGCCCATGCAGGGAGAAGGCCGAGGCCAAATTCCTCGAGTTGTATCACTGCGAAATGTGGGCAGCAACGGACATAACTCGCGGTCGGGAGGTACAGCTCTCAGAGATCAAGGAGCTAAGGACACCGCCGCAAACGCGCTCTTAATTGAATTCTTAAAATCCGTCCCTCCCAATCGCTTCGCTTCTCTTTTTGCTCATAATTAGTTCCTTGTCCAAATGGCCTATAATTTATTGAGATTGTGTTCTTCCCATCAGAATAAAATGTTCAAATCAAGTCCAACTGCATCTAACTGTCTCTTTTTTCGTTCTTTTTTTTGCAGGTTGCCCAGCTCTGATGTATATGCAAGATGAGCGACGCTATCCAATGAACGCTGATGCCCTCGCCCCCAAATACCGCACCCAAGACATACAAACTGACCAGTCCCATTTGATAAATGAAGCTCAAAAGGCTGTCCAAAGGCAGTTCAACGGCAACGAAATGCCCAGCAAGCCAACGCAGACACAGAATGCAAGAAAACAGCAGGATATGGAGGAGGGTGGCGCTGAACTGGCCAAAACATCTCAGACGGACACATCCTATCTTCACGATCACTATGGACGCTCGCTCGGTAAAAACTTTGTTGCGGACAAGCGATCACAAACGCGTGGCAGTCTTGATTACTATAATATGGGCAAAATTCATTATCCCACACAATACATATGCCGCATTGTAGACGAGAATGATACACATCTGCAAGAAAGTGTTCCAACTCTTAACAATTTTGATGAGAACCACTCAAATCGTCAACATCCAGTCGATGAATGTGTTTGTACCGATAATGGTGATTGGAAGCAAATAATTAAAGCTAAAATGCGCACGCAATATCAGCAAACAGAATCTTGTTGCGAGTCAAAATCACAACCAAGTATACCATCCTGTACAGCCGTACAGCCATCAGATAATAAGAACAGTCCACAAAGTTATAAATCCAGCAGTTGTCCCTGCGGCTCAAAATCTATGCCCAACGTATCATCTGCGGAAGGTCAACCGCAACCACCACCGATTCCGGATGGTAAGAACAATACACAAAGTAATAAATCCAGCACTTGTCCCTGCGGCTCAAAATCGTTGTCCAACGTTCCATCTGTGGAGGATCAACCGCCGCTTTACGAGGAACCGAAAATACAACCGCAACCACCACCGTTTCCATGTTATTGTGATTCAGACAAAGCTCAAGGCAAGGACTTTTCTCAACTGAGTGATGCATATTGTTCAATACCCAGTTGCCATACCGCTCAGAGCAGTTCCGTAGATCAACGAACTGACATTTCCCAACCAAGTAATACTGCTTATTGTTCAATACCCAGTTGCAATACTGCACAGGGTGGCACCGTTGATCAAAATGATAAGTCTTCCAAATCTAGAAATGTTGCCTCTCTTCCAATGCCCAGTTCCGAAACCGGACAGAGTGGCATCGAAGATCAAGCCATTGAATTTTCCCAGCCAGGTGATACTGCCTATTGTTCAATACCCAGTTGCCATACTGCACAGAGTGGTACCGTAGATCAACGCAATGACATTTCCCAACCAAGTAATACTGCTTATTGTTCAATACCCAGTTGCCATACCGCACAGAGTGGAACCGTTGATCAAAATGATAAATCTTCCAAATCAAGAAATGTTGCCTACTCTCCAATATCCAGTACCCATACCGGACAGAGTGGCATCGAAGATCAAGCCTTTTCCCAGCCAGGTGATACTGCCTATTGTTCAATACCCACTTGCCATACTGCACAGAGTGGTACCGTAGATCAACGCAATGACGTATCCGAACCAAGTAATATTGAATATTGTTCAATACCCAGTTGTCATACCGTAAAGGGTGGCACCGTAGATCAACGCAACGACGTATCCGAACCAAGTAATATTGCTTATTGTTCAATACCCAGTTGTCATACCGCACAGAGTGGCACCGTAGATCAACGCAATATCATTTCCCAACCAAGTAATACTGCATATTGTTCAATACCCAGTTGCTATACCGTACACTGCGGCACCGTTGATCAAAATGACGAGTCTTCCAAATCAAGAAATGTTGGTGCAGCAGATCAACCCACTAGCCCATCTCAAAAAGCTAATGCTGCCAACATTCCAATGATCAGTACTCATACTACACAAGGGGGCACTGCTGATCAAGGTAAAGCCTTGTTTCAACCAACTAATGCTGCCTACTGTGCAATGCCCAGTTGCCATGCTGTACAGAGTCGCCCCGCAAATCAAGCTATTGCTTTGTCCCAATGCTTAAATCCAAGTTGCCTTACTGCACAGACCGGAATTGTGGATCCAAATACGACCAGATTATGCACTGATCACGGCTTGCCATCGTTGCTTTCCGGGGACAGTTGTCCCCGTGGTCAGGACAATCAGGCTGGAATTACCGGGGTTTATTATAGCCTGGAGTCGGGCCATAGTTGTTCAATGCCATCAAGTGCTAGCCCGCGAGCTGTAAATCCTTGTAAATTGCCAAACGCACACAGCCCTGTGCCAAGTTGTTATTATTCCTTGCACTCTGAGACTAGTAGAGGAAACGAAAAGGATAACGCTACGGCATTTTATAGCGTGAGATCTTGCACCAGTCGGCCACTCGATAACGTAACCACTTTTGATAGTGTGAAACCTGGATCGAGTCATCGGGATATCTGTAACTGTGATCAAACGGACAATGCCACTAAATTTTTCAGCGTTGATTCTGGCAGCACTCGTCTAGTCGATAATAGAGGTCAAAAGGATAACGCCACGACCTTTTTCAGTGCACAATCGTGCGCCAGTCGTCCGGTCGATAATAGTCAAAAGGATGACGCTACCCGCTTTTTAAGCGTGCAATCCTGCAGTAGTCGATTAGTTGATAATGTTTGTCATAAGGATAACGCCACAACCTATTTTAGCGCACAGTCCTGCACCGGTCATCCAGTCGACAATAGTTCTAAAAAGGATAACGACACAACTTTTTTAAGCGCACAATCCTGCACCTGCTCGAAAAAGGATAATGCCACTGTGTTTTTTAGCGCACAGTCTTGCACCAGTCGACCAGGCGATAATATTTGTCCAGGAGACGCATCCACTTTTCTTAGTTTGGAATCGGGCATCTGCCGGCCAGCAACCACTCAACCCAATGTCGAGTTCTATACAATCCCCAGTTGTCTCAATGCGCAAAGCAACTCCGGTGTGTTTGGCACGCAACCCTCTGTGATTCCTTGGAGTATGGTTACAGCGAAAAGTGGAAATCAAAGCGAAAATACCGACTGGCGAAGCGCGCGCTCTAAAAATACCGCTGAGCTTGATCAAACTGGAGTCGATGTGGCGTGTTCTTGCCTCGCACCCGATCCAAGTACACGTACCTTCCTCGCAACAGAGCCGAGTAGCATTGCACCGGCCACTTCATTGGGACAAGCATTTTACCAACAAAGACAGAATATGCAGGTGTTGAAAGGAGCGAACTTTTTTGATGGACAAAGCACGACTTATCAGAGCGCGCGTTCGGAGCCCAGCGAAAGACATCCTTGTTCCTGCAGCAAAAGTGCACGCTCTGACGTGGGTACTCAACAAGGTGAAAGCTTTTTCGATGCAGACAGGAGCAATATAACGACATCCATGAAGAGTCGTCCGGTTGAGCATGATGAGAGTAATGCGGATGACGCCTCACAGCATAGTAGTGTCCATCAGGTAGCCTGCAATAAATCTTCTTTGGGCTACGCCGACAAGACCTCGTCACGCTCGCAGTCTGTAATGGCCAAGGTTACGTGCTTATGCTCGTCAGATCAGAGGATGAAGTTGGGAATAATGGGACGCGAGGTTAGGGAAGGACCGCCCTTCACAAAAGTTGAAGATAGTGGCTTAGAATGCGCCATTGTGCCCACTGATCCTGTGCTTGTGTCAAAAATGTTTTCGGCAGCCGCTACCAAAGACTTCAGCTGTTGTCAGAGCTGCAATGTAGCACCGAGCACAAAGGTTGTGTTTATGAATCGGACTGACAAGTTTTGTGATTGCGATTCTTCATCTGAGACTTCCATAGGCGGTACCGCTGTCAAGTGTTTATCTGAATTTAAAGATGTTGAAAGCGGACCCTCGAGTTGCACCTGTGACAAAGAGTCGTCTAGAGGGATGTCAACTCATAAAAGGCAAAGTTCGGCTGGCTACAAGTCCTTGGATCCATCCGTACTTAACGGTGACCAACAGATGTCCATGAAAAGCGCATTTACCTGTTCGTGCAACCATCCAATGTTGAATGCCGACTATAAATCGGCTAAGTCCGCAACTGCACATTCCAAATCCTGTCTAACAACCTCGAAATACGGCGTGTCCATGCCAAACTTTAGCTTGGCATCCGATACCGGGGGTACTAAGTTTTCTGGCCAATATCGCGTCAGCCCTGAAGAGGGTGCTATAGAGCAGGACCGGGAAGAGGTCCAGGTTCAGGAACAAGTCCAGGTGCAGAACCAAGACCGAGTCCAGGGCCCGGCTCAGGACCAGATCCAGGACCCGGCTCAGGACCAGATCCAGGGCCCGGGTCATTACCAGATCCAGGTCGTGTGCCAGGATCAGGATCACGAACAGGACAATTACTGTGAGTGTGCATCCGACAGGCAGATGACGAGTTACAGGAGCTGTATATCGAACGATTGGGGCAATGCTGGTTCACCAAAGGAACGTATTATGAATATTTTAAATTTATTAAGCGATTCAAACGATTGCTGCCTGGATCGCACGGCCACTATACAACAACTGTTTCGTGAACTAACCATGATGCTTCGTCGAGAGGAAGAGGATGATAAAGAGGCGGCTGAACCCTTATCCTACGAAGATTGTATGGCAGCTGTAACGGCAGGCCGACTACCACCAAAAAAACAGCCCAAGTCGAAAGACAAGTTGGAGCGGATGCAGTGTCTTGATCAAATGGAAAAATATCTGGAGAAATGTTTTCCGCTAAAAACGGGTCGGACTATACAACCGACAGAAATCGTCGCTTTCGAACGCGATCCAAATTTTGATCCTTATCGTAAGCCTTATGATACCGACACTGAATCAAAGGATACGAGCTCTAAGAATTTCGTCAGCTGCCATACTGACGTCGAGTTTCATCCGCCATTCGCATCCGATTCCTATCGAACGGTCTCTAAATCTGAAAGCTGGAAATCCCCAGATTCCAAATCGACAAGCAATAAATCTTCTGAATGGAAGACTCCCGATACTAAATCTGCCGATTCGAAATTGGCAGATTCGATCAGCTGGAAAACACCAGATTCCAAATCATCCAAATCACCAGATTCTAAAAGGACTACGCCCGTAGGGGGCTCTAAGCGTAACTCGCAATTGGGATCTTTAAGTACCGACTCAAGAAGGAATTCTGCATCACCTTCTAGCCCAATAGATGAAGAGAACAAAGCAACTCCACTGGCAGATATGGATGCAGATGACTCTGCCGAAGCAACAGCAGCGGCACCTGAGATCCCTGAAGAGTATGGCGAAGTTGATGTCCAAGCCGACGAAGAGCCTCCAGTACTGCCTCCAGAAGAGCCTGAGCCTGACGAAACAACAAACGAACTTACTCCAGCCTCTGGAGCCAATAAAAAGCCGAGTTGTGTATGTGGGACTGACGAAGAGCCTACTAAAGTCCCTCCAGAAGAGCCTAAGCCGGACGAAGCAACTAATGAAATTACTCCAGATTCTGGCGACATTAAAAAGCCAAGCTGTGCATGTGGGCCTGACAAAGAGTCTGAAGCAGCTGACGAAGCAGTGGAGGAGGAAGCAGATGAGGCAGCGGACGAAGCAGTGGATGAAGAAGCGGACGAAGCAGCAATCGAGGCTGAAGAACTCACTCCAGATTCTGGTGCCATTCAAAAGCCGAGCTGTATATGTGATCAGGATTCGAACGAGGCTGAAGAACTAACTCCAGATTCTGGTGCCATTCAAAAGCCGAGCTGTATATGTGATCAGGATTCAAACGATATTTTGAGTCCGCTTACGGATAGGGAGCGCCTACTATGCGAATATATGATGCGTCGCATGTGCGAATTGTGTGGGGATGAGCAAACCGTAGAGGAGGAGGCCACGGAAGGCGTGGATCGACCGGGTGAGCCCTGTGTTTGCTGTCACTGTCGCGCGCTCACTTGCGACAACCAATGTAAGACTGTATCCAAGACCCTGGATGCCATCCGATATGATCCCGTTGCCGAAACGGTAAGTGGTCAGGTTTTAAATAAAACAAATCTGTCCGCCCGTCTTTATAATTAATATTGAACCCATTAAAAATGGGTATAAGGGTATATTGTATATGTTCAAAATCCAAATGTATGTAATAGGCAGAAGGAAGCATCTCTGACCCCATAAAGTATATATATTCTTGATCAGCACCAATAGCCGAGTCGATCTAGCCATGTCCTTCTGTCTGTCCGTCCGTATGTATGAACGCAAGGATCTCAGAACCTATAAGAGCTAGAGACTTGAAATTTTAGATGTAGGTGCTCCTCGATAATCGATAACTTACTCCGTTTCCAAGCAATCGATAAAAATCGATATCGATATCCTGTTTTTTGGGCAATTTTGGTAAATAATAAGAGCTAGAGTCACCAAACTTGACATATAGCTTCTAAAATAGAATATATATGTGCATTTGATGTTGGAAGAAGAGGGTTCAGGGTATCCCCTAGCTCCCGACTGGAACCTCTTACTTGTTTTTTCTAATTTCGCTAAAACGTATGTTTTAAACTATTTTTAACTATTGTTAAAAAAGGCGACACATTTTCCATATTTGAGGTCTTATACAAATTTTGCATTTAGGTTTTCTAAAGCCAATAGATCACCAAAATGTTGCTTTTTAAAGAAATGAGAGAAATTTCATAAAAATCGGTGAGCAGGGAAGGGCGGAGCACAGCCTTTGCTCAAGGTCCACGACTTCAGTCAGGTACATATTGCGGCGTTGAGTAAAGGATATTCCCTTGTAGTGTACCTTTTAATATAGTTCTCTTAGGCGTTTAATAAAATTAGTTTGCTTTTCTTACAGAAATTTTTCATTGATTCCATCATTTGTGATTTGCATGCTATGAATCATGTGATGAACAAGAATAAAATTAATCCTAAGGTAAATTATGCAACCTGTCTGCAGACCGAAACCTTTTTTTTAAAACATTTCCCGCCCCACAGACGCCCAAGCCGTCGCCTTGTATGGGCAATGGGCCAGGAGAAAGTTTTCCTGTAACCATTACGGATGTCTCAAGTTTGGGCTGTCGTGCGCTCTATGTGCGATGGCAGTTGGATGACTGCGCCGCCGTTGGTGGATACGAGGTAAGCGCAGTTTATAATTTATATGTACCCAATCATTATATATGACCCTCTCCCGTCGATAGATTTATGTGGACGGCCATTTGACGAATCGTTTTTATAGTTATCGGCACGAATCTGGTGTCGTGGCCAATGTGGATGTGACTAAGCGGCATCAGATCGTTTTGCGCGCGCAGGCGGTGGGTCAAGAGTTTCCTGGCGATGAAGTTGGTTGCGGCGAAAATGCGATGGTACACGCCCATCCGGAGATGCTGGTGGGCGCTAGCCGACCCTGGACACCGAGCGTCTTTTTTTATGAACCTTAAGTGCGCCCAGTTTGACGCTGACGGCGCACAAAGTGCTAGTCAAAAGTTTCTATTCCAGTTTTGTCCGTTCTTAATACCGTTAGTTTCTGTCCCTTTTTCTTTGTGCATATAACTCGATTATCGACTATTATCGATTATTGCACCTAGTGTAGAGATCGATATTTGGTCCAACATGCTTTCCAGCATAGGAATTTCAAGAGGACACTTCGATCGCTTTACAATGTGCCTTAAATACAAAATTGTACTCATCGATGTTGCACGTTTTCTTGCGTTTCAAAACGCGGTATTTACATACATACACTAATATATATTTTTGAATCTGTTATATGAACAAAACTAGAGATGGGCAATGCGAACAAATTGTAGCTTATGAAAATTGTCTAAATCTTGAGATAATAGAGAAAATTGTACTCTGATTGGCTTGTTTTTTAATATTACTATTATGTGTCTTAAAAAGTTATTGTTGACAGCGATGAAAAGTAACAAATGCTAAAAGTTTACACCACAATGATTCAAATTATTGGAAAGTCCCAGTTGCATTTATTGAAATGTAACAGTTTTGTAAAGTTACAAATACGAAAAAATCAATCTGAAAAAGTATGAGTTTCAAGGAAACCTACAATATCTAATTGTACAAAACCCTGTGGTTTTAAAAAACAGTTTGTTGAAAACTCCCTAGTCACAGTCACAAGAAATTACAGAGTTGTGAAGTCACAATTTAATCAACGTTTGCAAAAAGGGAGTTGTATTAAAACACAATAATGAAAGTGAGATAATAAATAACACTGGATTGTCATTGAATCACACAAAGCTAATTGTATATAATCCTTAAGAGTTAATGTTAGAATATAAAAATTGCAACGATTTACGCTAAATCACACTGTAAATGAGCACCCATATCAGGCAAAATTGTCGCAATATAATACAGGAAATTCATATATTTTATATAAGAATATTTATACACCTATTGATCTAGCTATTGACTCAAAATACTCAAACAAAATTCTCTGTTAAGTCTCGTCGCCCATCTCTATTACATCTAAGAAGTTACATACACATATGGATATGTAGATGTTTAGTTAGTCTGCCGTTTTAGGCAAGCATAACTGTTGCATTGTTATAATAACAGTTAATTATCTAATACTAGATACTTACCACCTGGAACGTAGCAATTGTGGACCAAGGTTCATGTTTGAATATACGTAGTTTTTACACACTTATTTAATGCGCATTATTTTTACTGTGAAATATACAATAAAATTAACATTTAAATGCATGAAAGATGCGAAGGCGGATAGTGGGTAGGATATTATGTCATCTAATACTAGGCGTAGTTGCGGCGTGTGGAATGGAACATAGAACTTAAACTATCTACGCAAACAGGGCTGGCAAGTGCCGGGCAGCACAAACGATGGATGGCACTCGGGGCACTTGGGATTCTCGCCAAACCATCTGCCATGAGTGGAGCTGCTACTAGACGAGCTGCTGCCGCCGTTGTTGCCGGCGCGACGCTCTGGTATCTTTAACTGAAATGAATTGTAGAGATCTCCGGCGGCGCTCGAGCCAGGCGCATAGCCCGTGCGTCCGATTGTCTCCAGCGGGAAGGCATACTCCGGTATGAGGAGCTGCTTACGCAGCTGCGTTATGTCTGTCGATGTGGAGCTACCGCTAGCGCTGACCACATCTGCGCGTCGCTGCGCCTTTTCCATGGCCATCATGGGCAGCGTATTGGGTTTGATGGAACGCGAGCTGGGCAAACGCTTGGGCGCAACTGCGGCTGAGCCATGGCTGGCTATGTCATTCAATTTGGAGTTGAAGCTATCCTGTTTGGTCTTGACGCTGTAGTCGCCTGTGGTATCTGGGTATTCGCGCCCATCCACTCCTATGGGCGGATCCAGTTTAGGTGGCTGCAGCCCATTAGCGGGCACCTTCCATTCGTAGTAGATGGGCGGTCCTTGCGTGGTGGCTATGTCATGTGGTACAAACTCCACAAATGGTGGAAGCAGATCGTTGAAAGGCAGCTCTGCCTTGGCTGCCACTTTGGGCGGCGATGTCGAAGTGGGCGTGGCTGGGCGGAATGCTTGCGCCGGCGTGGGCGTACGATGCTCTGTTTGAGCCACAGCTGGGCGATAGTTGATCGCTGTACTTGCCGTAGTGGCCAGCGTGGAGTACGAGAAGGGCTGTCCAGCGTAAGTGGTGGGTCGGCTAAGCGGGCGTGTGGTGGTGCTTGGTCCGGCAGCTGCTGCCGTAAAACGTGTCTGAGTTGAGGCTGTGCTAAAAGGCGCCGCTGACGAAGTCCGCAATGTTTCTGTGGCCGGCTGCAGCTCGTCCTGATTGTAAATGGGATACACAAAAGGTGGTTCATAAATTTTCGATGGCGCCTTGATGAACTTGACCAGCTTGGTGGTGTTTTTAGTCGCTGGCTGCTCAGCAGAGTTAAAGTCAGCCGAGGTATTGTAGCGTGTGCTGTGACTGGTGCCCAGGTCATCTGTGTCAGGATCCGCAATGCGCTGATGCAGTGCCTCCGTCCGCTTGTGCAGCACAGGCGCAACAGAGGCGGGCCTGCGAGTTGTGGTGCGGCTGGTGGTGCTGGTGGGTTTGGCTCGGGGCGTGCTGCTGGCGACTTCGATCTGTGGTTCATAAGCCGGCGGCAGTATAGTGCGGCTGGGTGGAGGAATGCGCCAGCGTGTTTGACCGTTTTGTGCTAGCTGAGATTCAGATTTGGCAGCGCCTTTTGTCGAATCATCACGTATTTGATTTTGACTCGGCGTCAGCTGCTGCACGAAATAGAGCCTGGTTAGTATAGAAAAAGATAATTGTGAATAGGAAAGTCTTACCTTGTACTGGCTTCTAAATGACTCGCCGGAGTAGTCGGGTGCATAGGGACGATCCAGCAAATCTGGACGTGGTGTGCGCAAATTGTTTTCTTCATCGTTTACAAAGGGCTTATCACGCTGTCCTAGAAGGCACACAATAAACAAAAAAATAAGAAAAGAGGGCTAAACACTAAACTAAACACTAAATGTCCTTTTTAGACTTCAAACACTTAAACTTTGTAAATACTGCTTTTTCTAACAGTTTTCCTTTAATCATAGTTTGTTCTCTCTAAATGTTTTGAATACGTTTTAGAAGTTCTAATGTTTTTCACCAAATTTTTAGAAACAAATTAGGCATGAGCATTTTTCTGTAATTGTAAGTCCACTTTATATCTAGCTGGATTTTTCAAATCCCAATATGGATTTTGGTGGAAAGCTAATATACGTGTAAAAACTCAAACTTCTCACAAAGATTTTGATTCTGAAATTTCATTTAATTTACCCATTGAAATTGTTTAAAAGGGTAGAATGGTATTATGCAAATGCATGTATCAATCAGAAGGAAGTATCTTCGATCCCATAAAGTATATATATCAAAATAAATGGCCAAGTCAATCTATCCATGTCCGCGTGTCTGTCTGTTCGTATATCCATGTATATCTATGAACGCGTCGATCTCAGAGCCTACAAAGCTATTTGAATGTAGAGTGTTTATGCGAATATTCCATGGCCGAATCAGATCTATTGCAGAAAATTTCATCAAGAACCACATCGCAGCAAGCGCAAGGCGCAAGGCGCAAGATAAATATGTGCAGTGCATATGCGATTGTATTGTAAAAAGTGGAAGAAGATTTAATGCTAATTATGTGTTTGCTTGGTGTTTTAGTAGCAGTTTCCGGGTATTTTATTTATTCTACTTACAGTTTGTATTGATTTTCACTCACCAATTAGAAGATTGGCCGCATAGTTGCTCTCAGCCTTGGAGCAGTTGACCATGTACCAATGATCGCAGATGAGCATGCGCTGCTGAAAGAGCGTGGTGTTGGGACAGGTATAGCTGAACTGACGGCCCAGACCATCGCACATGTGATAGACCTAAGCGATAAGGATGATAACAGATCATATAAAAGAGTGCAATTCAAAAGATTACGACACACACCTGACAGCCAGTCTCCACGTCCGCATAGTAGCCCGCTGGGCGTCCTGTGCAAGAGAAGGAAGTCTTTTGCGCGTTCAATGCATTTTGGCACTGGAAAAAAAATATTGTGGTTTTTTTTAAGCCATATGGTAAGGAAGCAAAACTGGAAACGTATTTGGAACTTAGAATGCTAACCACTTAAATTAAAGGCGAATTATTTGTTTTAAGATTTTTGAAAGTTAGAATTGTTCCATGTAAAACTGAAAAAAAGTGACGAATCAATGCTCGAACCCACATGTGTGTTCATGTGTGGAATCAAACCTTCAGACAAGTTATGGGTTCGAACCGTGAACCGAGTGTGTCAGTATATGAGAATTGTTTGGGGCGCTTTCCCAAGCCAAGAGCGATTAGTGCGGCTAAACAAATGATACAAGTACTCGCCGTCTGATCAAGATCTATGAATACTCGAACTGGGTACTCGTGTCGAGACCATATACGATTGTTGCTGGCATGCATATGCCACAGCCTCGGGCTATGGTCCACCAAGTGATGAATTGAAGTGATGTCATAAGTTGGCACATGGTGCCACGGCTGCTTGCAACAGTCAGTGGGTCCAAAGCGACCTGCTGCTGTGTGAAATGTCAACTTTGTGTGTTTGTGCTTTTTTCTTCAGTTTTTCATTTTTTGTTGTTTAATTATATAGAAAAAGTCTTCATGTGTCTCTAGCAAATTATAGCCCAATGACTTATCGAAATCTGCCACTGGGCTCTCCAGCTACGTGTGAATATGTGAAGAAGCTTCCGTGCCAAAGACTGCAGAGTCCGTGAAAAATTGTTTTTCCCAGCTGCCTCAAAACAATATAACAAAACATTTGAAGCTGCAGCAAAGCCCTAAGCCCAGCTTATATAATATTGTAAAACAAGAAAAGAAAAAATAAAAATAATACAAAATAATTTATTTACTGGACAACAGATGTTTTTGCTTCGATAAAATCGTAGGACGTTCGCTGCTTGCTGAACCCTTCAAATTCCTGAGTTAACGTTTCACAGTTAATTCGACGGCTGTGACTAAACTTTTACTTGTCTATAAGCTCTATTAAAAAGATAAAAGATACATGCTGACATTTTGATTTTCCGTGTATGTATTCCCAGGTTGACATCTTACATTTTGTAATTTATTGCGGAGTGTAGCCTTAAACTGTATATTTGAAGTGTGCGCCAATCTATTGGGCTTAATGGGCCGTATTTAAAATTGATATGTAAATAGGAAAAGGACAAGCATATCAATCCCTACCTGCATCGCGAAAATAAAAAATATAAAATTTGTATTGTTATCCAAGCAGACATATCTCCCTTTAAAGCTTTCCTTGCAATTTTGCACCATTTTTTTAACCGCAATAAGAAGACTTTACTAGGCGACTTCTGTCAAAGATGATACTTACTATTTCCTATCCCGCAAACAAAACGATTTCCATTCATCAAAATGTAATTGTCTATTGATGGAGGATAAAAAGGCGATACAAAGCAATAAAAAAAAATAAACTAGAAAGTATCTTGCGCAACAAATATTGTCTACGTATTTGCTTGTATTTGTTTTGCAATACAGTTTTTCAGCCTCTTCAGTTACGAGGTATCTTCTAGTCGAGCTCTGGTATCTGGAGCAAACTTGTTTGTCACTTCTATTAAAGCTCACAACACTTTTACATTGTCGCCTATATGGTGACGTTTCCCGTTAGCTTATAAGGTAATGTGATTAGCATTAATTTGCGACACTGTGGGCTCAAAAATTGTTTTGTATTTGCCTTATAGGGACACATTGTTTATCTCTGAATCTGTGAAGATCTTAACCGATGTGCTAGGCAATTTGGCATGCCAAATGGTTGACTAACCAAATACTTGCCTTGCGGCTAATTTATGTAATTTGATCACATGCTGCGAATATTTGTTGGTGGTAATTTCATAGTTAATAGCACTTCGTTTACGGCCGATGCTTACTGAAATTTTTTAAATAGCGTTAAGTGTTGGAAAATGTTGCTGTGATTTTAAAAGAGTTTTTTTTTAAGCGATTGCTTCATAAATTTCAGCTCAACTTCATCTGCGTGTTTATTTTCATTTTAAGCGTAGCGAAAAAAAGGCAGCACACTTTTTTAAACGTATTTTGTTCCATTTTTTGGGACTTTTTCTCTTCTTCTTCGTTTTCTTCTTGTTGCTGTGGCTGTGCTGCAAAAGTGTCAGTAAAAAGGTCACTTGGTCAGCGACTACGACAACGTCTTTGTTTTAATATGCTTGAAGACCTTTGCCGTTTGTTTTTGTTGCTGGTTGTGGCATGTGTGTGAATGAATACCCGTATCAGTAGGTGCACTCACATAGACAGCCATAGAATAAATTAAAAATGAAACAAAGCGTAAAGAGCGCAAAATTACAACATTTTCCGCCGTTGCTCAAAAGCACTTGGGAAGTGAAGTCGAAAAAAAAACTATAAGAAGAAGGTGAAGACGAAAAAGCTGTCAGACCTGAGTCAAAGGGAGCTTGTGCAGCAGAGAGTTGAGAGGCTTGGGGCTAGGTTATTTTCAAAATGATAAACACCCAATTTTAAGCGCCTAATGTGGCAGCAAATATTGCGAACGAAGAGTTGAAAAGATTTAAATCTCAAAAGTAAAACCATTTAAAGCAGTGCGATTTATTTATAGTATAACTGTTTGTCCTGACTGACCGACTAAAGTTAAAAATTCTTACTGCATTTAACCAATGTGATGAAAGTACACGCTTACCACCTGAAAGTGCGTAAAAGGTGCGGTGGATGCATGAAAGTTGTTTACTTAAAAATCATTTTTAAAGATCTTTCTCAAAATTCATCTGAAAAAAAAGGGGTGAAGGCTTTAGACCATGCGGCTATAATACGCGACTTGCTATGTGAATATTTATATTTTCAAGGGTCGAAAAATTGATGTCTAAAACTAGCTGATAGCACAAACTAGGAACGGACCAAGGCGGGGAATACCAGCTAGTGTACAATTGTTGCGGCTAAAATTAAAAAGAGACATAAAAAGGTTTTTTATCTATTATTAAATATATTTTTTATAAATCAATTTATTCTGATTAGGTAATAGACTTCATATTTACCATACAAAAGTTCCAACCCTTGTATGCAGTATAATTAAATTTGAATAAACAGAAATCTTAATCTTTTATTTATATTTATAGCCAGGAAGTTGAAAGAATACATTTTGTCACGATATATGTTAAATAATTCTTGTATAAAGTCATCGCCTAGCTGTCTATTTGTTTGTTTTTATGCAAGTAACTCTTTCGGATTACAATTCCGTAACTATTCCAAAACGAAAAACTCTAGAAACATGAATGAAACTTTTAAGGTTTGGATTACTTTTTAGGATTCAGCTGCTTGACGACAGTTTAAAGAAACCCTAAAGGGAATAAACGCAATTGCAATTAGGAATGACTATAAATAAAAATTGTTATTGTTATACTTAACACGAAACTAAATTCCATAGGTAGAAAATAATTGAAAATAATAAAATACATATGTTCAACAATTTAATAAACTAATAAATCCAGTAAAATAATTTATGAATAGATATCTATATGGCAATTAGTAAGTATGATAGTTAATATTTGCTATAAATATTTGATGAGCCAGATGAAAACCTGATGAATGTTAATGATGATTTTTGATGAAAACAGCAATTCCTAAAAGTATTTGTATACATAGTATATTACTATTACTAGAATATCGAAATACTTTGCTTACGGAATCTCAAGATTTGAATAGATGTAAGCATTCAGTATTATATATACATATTTAAGCAAATAATAAAAGCTATCTCTGGCACGCTAATAAGCACTTGCATTCGACTTAGTATATAGACAGTGTCAATCGTTAATATAATTCCAAACAAAATAATTTGCATTTCAATGTGTTTACGTGCGCGGGTCAAAGCAGCTGTTTTTGCATGTCTTCCAAATACTTATTAAAGTTTCGTTGAGGTGGTTGGGTGATGGGTTATCGAAAACTTACCTCACTGCTCAAAAATAGCGCCGTAAAGCAGAGTAATGCCAGGGCACCAAGCTGATAATTTTTCAAAACTGAAGGCATTTTTATCAATATTTATTGTTGCTGTTTTTACTGTTTTTGAAGGTGTCTCCAATTGCCCAATCAATGGGCTGGCTTAGTAGCGTTTTGCTGGGCTGAAAGTGTTGAATAGATGATATTGTAAGTGTTGGAAAGTGTCTACTAATTGACTTATACATTACTACTATAATAACTCCAATTGTGCCCGAGTCGATTTACTTAAGGTGCACGTAACAAACTTTCTTCAACAGTTTTGTAACAATGTGCAACAATGGGGCTTGGAACTTCCAGGGTGAAAACGATTTTCGATTTTAAGTTCGTAATTAATTGTAATTTAAAAAACATTTACAGTCGTTGCCGCAGTAGTAGTAGTTGTTGTTGTTATTGTTGTTGTTGTTGCCAACAAGCGGCATAAATTGTTGCCATTTTATGGCTGGCAGAATTAGCAACGCATTTGCTGCGCCCCCGTTGCCCCTGTCTCTCCATGACCTCCACCTACAATTCAATTTGCAACCTTGCAGCTTCAGTCTAAACACACAGCACACACACACACACACACACACACATATAGTGTGTTGCTTGTCGTGCTGTGTAGCAGTGCATCCAAAATGCAGTTTGTTGACGCTTTCCAAGCTTTCCAAATATGCCAAGTTGAACTTTGAACTATTTGCTGTTTTTTTTTCATTTTGTTTTTTTTAGGAGTTGCTTTCCTTGAAGCCACATACATCGATCCATTTAAAAGCAATCTAGCTCTCAAAACTATAAATCTTCTTCAAATGCAGTCAATACAAGTTTTCTGTTTCTGTTCTTAATCTTGATCTGATAAATAAAAAGCTTTAGTGCTTCAAATCAATTTTAACAGACTCGAGCTACTCAGAGTCGATAAATTTTCGTATGTATTTAGGTAATCAGAAGATATATATTGTGTATTTCGTTTTATGTTCTTTAAATAATTGCTGTGACATTTTGTCATTGGTAAAAATCAATTTCTTGCATTAAACATAATCCCACTGTTTATTTTAACTTTCATTTTAATTTTTCTCGTGGTCTAAAAAGGAACATGTAGAAATAGTCATGAGATTTCTATGGAGATTTTTATACAAGATATAAGTATAATAAAAACTTGCATTTTTAAAACTATAAAATTAATCATCGGTCTTTCTTCTCTCAATCTAGATTTATCTGATAGATACACTAATCAAACTAAAACAAACGTTTAAAATTCGCGAGATTATACACTTTATAGTTGTGAAATAAAGCCTTAAGAGTATTGATATTTAATTTGATTAGAGACAAAATAATAATTACGAATATCATTTATTCAAACTTAAATCTTACTTGTATGCTGAAATCTTAACTCAATGCAAATTGTTTGAGAACATCTTATTATTGAGTTGAAAATTATCTACAAAATATCTGTCACAATTTTTGTGTGTCTTGAAGAAATTACTTTTCAAAATAAAAAATTAGCTGGAAATATTTCTATTTTTTGGCATTCCTGTGATCTATTGACAAGATCATTTTGTGCGTGTCGAAGACACAACAACCTCCACAAGAAAAGCAATAAAAATTTGGTTGAGTTTTGGATTTTTTGTTTTTGGTATTTTCCTTGGTTTGACCTTTTTGACAAGAAACGGCAACTAGCAACAAAATATTTGCAACTTTATCCTCAGCTCGTGATGCTGGTTTCGATTTTTATTGCAGCTTTGTGCCTTGCAGCATAACAAGAAAAAAAAAAACAAATGGAAAAACGAGCCAAACTCAAAGCCTATTTGACATTTTTGCCAGCAATTTCCACAGAAAGAGCATTTTCGAACCCGAAGATGCTCAGGCAACAACAGAAACAACAATAACTACAATTATACCAATTAGCTGGCATTACAGGTTGATTACGACGACTCGGGCATTTTTTTCTTCTAATTGTTGAAGCCGACAGAAGGAATTACGAGCAGCTTGCAACGGGCTGGGACTGTTCAGAGATGGATGGTTTATGGCTCACCTTCGTCTTTAAGTTAACAAACAAATTGCTGTGCTACACGTAGGTGGGTATATAAAGAATATTCCATATGGTCTTGTTAAGTTCCACTAAACACACATCGCCGATCACGCGAATCGCCCGCTGATCGCTGATCTTTGCAAAGATCAAATGTCAGTTGCCAACTGATCGAATGTGGAAACAAAGTCAAGAGCACACGCGCCAAATTTGAGATTCAATCACGTTCAGTCGTTGCTGTTAAAGATCCATGGATCCACAAGATCCAACTGGCATAAATTATATATTTATTACAGCTTGCCATTAACACTTAATGCCTATCGACAATGCACAAATCCGGCGTTGCAATTGCAAATTGCACTTCAAACGACGCGCGTCAATATTTTATGTTTGCCGCTTCTATTTTGCTTGTATCTCAATCTTTGTATCTTTGTATCTTTTCTGACGTTGTTTTGCCGCTGCATCAACCGCACCGCACGATGTCTCGCACAGAACTGATGTCTGTGAATGCATCCGACTTGGCTTAAAATTCACATTAGGCCGTTAGCGAAGTCCGCCCGCTAGACGCGACACAGAAGAAGCGCCAAACGAGCGTCATCAACGCCGACGCACAGTGGAACAAATCTTTAAGAGTTGCTTCCAAATTAAAAATAGCCAGTTTTAACAGTTTCTTGTAAGTATGTGTAGATTTATCTTATTCGAAAATCGAAACAGATGCATTTGTATTTCATATTTATATCTTGTATTTGTATATATTTATATTGTTTGGTTCGATTTTACGTTCAATTCACATAAATTCAAGTAGGGTTTGTCGTGACACTCGACCTTACACATAAGTATTTCGTTTTAAATTGGAAGCCAAGAAATGTATTTAAACATTTATTTAATTTTACACATACACAATAAAGAATCCCAAAATGTCTAAAATTCAACGTCATCCAACTTAGAAAGTTGCAAAATTTTTAAATAATTTCAGGTCTTTGTTTTGTGAATGCTTTGAATTTGTTGTTTATATTACCTAAATAGATACCAAAACTCTGTTCAAAAATATATAATACACAATGATAGAAAACTTGAATAGATATTACTTTTATTATATTATAACAATTACTTTAATACTGAGAATCTTTTAATTGCATTTGTTCGAGGTCCAATCCTAACTTTTTTTTGGCAATAATTTTGTTGAGTGAACATACAATATGCGACCACGGTGCACTAAACATCTTCGTTAATAGCCGAAGGCGAAGCTGCTGTAAAGATCGTCTAAACGTAGCCGATGTGGGCAGCACAGCTCGAGCCCGAGTCGGAGCCACAGTAAGAGCTACAGTTACAGACAAAGCCAGAGCCAGGGCCCAGAGAGTTGGGCAGTCAACAAAGCGTTAACATTGCAGCTACAATTTTATTTTCATTTTCAATGTTTGGGATTCGGGTTATTAGCGTCGAGTATGCCACCGTTTAAGCGGGGTGGCCCTTCACCAAATGTTTATTTGTCTAATTTATTGGATCACCCCATAGTTGGCTAAATAGAGCGATCGAGAAGAGCAGCAGCAGTAGCAGAAACCGCAGCTCGAGATCTAAGTCAGATTAGGCGGGGGATTACGAAAGGCAGCAACTATCTAGTGTTCGCTGCAAGCAACGTCTTTAGCGTTGGCGTCGTCTATGTCGACGTCGACGTCGACGTCTTCAGTGAGTTTTGTAAGTTGAGATTTCCATTTTCAATTCATGCCGTTTATTTACTTGTTTTGCCGCCTTTCAAAGCCCTTTGTCGTGCAGCGAAAAGCCAAAGAAAAAATTGAGAACTGCAATGGTTGATGCCATATAGATGTGGAGTGGGGTGGGGGGATCAACTGGGGTTGCTTGCTGCGTTGTGTGGTTGTTTGCCTGTTTGGTGTTGCCTCATTGCATTTCTAGGTTCATATATTCATATGGCAGCATTAGCAGCAACAGCAGCAGCATTTATTATTTGGGTTTTTGTGCTCGGGTCGTGACGCTGCGGCTGGGCAGGAAGTTGTGAATACTCTGTCGGGGCGTGAGGGGCGAGTAATCAAGAGATCGAAAAGAAAAATACATTCAAAAAGAAAGAAATCACGGCAATTGAATGAAATAAATGCGTGTTGTTATTTAACAAACAAACGGTACAACGATACGTATACATAACATAAAATTTTGTGACGTCCTGTGCTAGAAAAGCAGTTGATGTTAATGAAAATTGAACTAATTAAACACGTTAAACATTGGGTTGCTGTTTGATTTGCTGTGAGCGCATGGCCAACGAGTGTTGCTGGAAATCGGCCAAAATGCGGCTCTCTGGTATGTCCGTCTCCACACGACTGCCTACAATATCAATGTCATTCTCATTCTTATCAAAGAAGATGTCAATTATGATGCGTACGCCTAGAGTTGCATTTCGGATGATGAAAAGACAGAAAAGGCAGCTTATTCCGTGAATCTTGCATTCTTCATTGAGGTATATACGTACCCTGTTCGGTGCGTCTTATGGTTGTTTTGCTCTGATACGATTTCTCAACGGAATTACCACCCGCCGCATCCGCCTGCAGCGATTGTCGCAGTGAAGTCTGATCATCAGCTGTGGTCACACGAAAGTTGCCCGGTTTCTTATTGTGTAGACGGCTGGGAAGGGCTTGTTGATGTAAATGCCAAAGTAGAGTCGAGTGCATAATCGCATTCCTACCTGCTGCTGGCCTGACCATCCATAGCTGGCATTTTAAGGCATATGCCGTCGCAGCATTCCTGCTCCTGTGGCTGTGTCGGCTCCATATCGCTTAGCTCCATTGGTGCGCCCTTCATGTTGCCACCGAAATAGATGGATTTGGCATGCGCCAATTCCTGATTCTTTTGCGTGGCAAAATTATAAAGATTTATCATGTCGCGGACGCGTATAGGCGGTTCCTCCCGCACTGAAGCTAACGTTTCCGGCTGTGCACTCGGTTGGGCGACTTCGGAATAGCTGCTGCTGCAGTTTTCATCCTCATAGCTCTGATTGCAATTCGTGCCCGTCTTGATCTCGCTGCTATTCATATTAAATATAAAAGAAATTTGTTGAACTTTTTATGTTAAGTTTTTCTTTCAAATGTGAGAACTAAAACATCTACAACAAATCTAGATTGTGAGTGAATGCTATGCACAGATTTCTGCTAAATATACTTTTGTTCTCAATGGTTGCTGAGTTTCTATTACACTGGAATGAATTCTGTATTAGATGTATTAGATTAACATGTGTGATCTGTGTGTGGTCGGTCTGAAAATGCAGCAAATACATCAAATATTCATATTATCGAAGTCATCTCTGTTTAAATTACTTTTCAATTCATTTTCAACGAATTTCTTTTTAAGGGGGAAGTATATGCTCCTGGCTTATGTAGAATAAGCCTGTTTATTTCTCCTCTGTCATGTTCATAGCTAATATCTGTACTATACTGAGTCCCAGCTGCCGTCTACTGGCTGCTGTAAAGGTAGGTCATTCAAATATTATTCAGAAGCCACAATTTAAAGAAAACAAAAGAAAAATTCCATTGTAATGGGTAATTGTATTAGGTACTCATGGTTGGGGGCCCATCTTCAGTTCGTTAACAATTACAAACAATAAACAAATGTAAATGTAATTCATATTTGAATTGATTTTACAGCTTGACCTTCGCTGTGGCAATCAAAAACGAAACTCGAAAACAAAATCGAACCGCATCGACTTTTGATGGTTATTAGTGAAATTCGAAACGTACTGTGAATGCCGCAATGTGTTGAATTGTCTTAGCGCGGATTAAGTGGAACTGGATGCCTACATACTCATAAGTAGATAGAAGATATATACCTATATGTGTGTGTGCGTACTCTTGTACGAGTTAATATCTTTTGAAATTGGGTGAGCAATGACTTGCAGCAGCCGCAGCTTCATCATCATCATCAGCAGCAGCAGCCACAGCCTTAGCGCCAGCTCCATTTGGCACATGCTCCCAAAAAGCCGCTGTTAAGGTCAACTAATTGCAAGCGACATGTGACGATTTCGTTTTGGCCAGCATCAGTTCAGATTTGCTATCCGACTCGCTTGAGCCAAGTCAAGGCTAGAAAACAAACAAAATATTAATGACTATTTGAGGATATAAAACTTTCATCTGATTGTCAGAATCATTTTTGTGCGCTCACAAATACATTATTTTTGTATTCCGCAGATTCCTTAACGTATTTGTGTCGTACAAAAGCATATATGAACCCAAAACTATTCATAAGTTGTAATAGTGGGCACTAAAATCTGTGAGATAAAGAAATAGTTTTGAAGTTCTAAATTTGTATGTTAGACACTAAAGACTTTTGAAGGAACGAAATCCTGAAAATGCAAATGTATCATTAAGATACAATATTATCATTGAGATACTAATCTCTATGGTTATTTTATGAAATAGAAGTATATTGAAAAAAGAAAGGTATCTTTATACAAAATTATCTCTCAGATAAAAAGTATATTTTAGATAAAATTGTATATAACAGATATAAACGCATTTTGAAGTAAAGTGAAATAAAGGTATGAAATATATAAAAGTATCTCTTCCAAATAAAATGAGTAGTATCTACAATAAATTTGAAAATACCAATTCAATGCCTTTTATCCAATTATTCGCTTCCATACAACAAATTTTTGACATATTCCTCATTAGCAGTTGGATAATAGTAATTCAAAAAAATTCATGTGAATGCCAAATTTTGGTTCTTACATATCACGAGTTTGCTCTGCACTTGTTGGATGCGCATCTTTTGGCAATTAGCTGCGATGTCAACGGGTTCAATGGAAATCAAGAGAAGGTGTGGGGCCTACAGCTACAATACGAGAACGATTAAGAGTACGAGTACAAAATACTCATTGAAACAGAATGTTGCTCCCAAGTTTTCGTATAGACCACATACCCAAACATGCCGGCGAGGTGTGTCATCGACATCTCTCAGTTCTTGTTGCTCTCACGGGGGCGAGTAGGGGTATTAAAGGCGTGTGATTCTATTGAAGGCCACCAGCACAGTAACAACAATAACAATAACAGTAACAGAAAAACAACAACGAAGAATGCTGAAGAAGTGTCTGCTTAACTTAAAGATACTCTGTAATTGCTTGCCTATTCGTTAGTAAATAAATTTCTTGTTCACAACGCGATCTTTAGCGACAGGCCTAGGCCTTAACTGCTTTAAACATAGAATAATTGCGCACACAATGTTATTTTTTGATGTTTCCCGAGATTGGATAGATAGGTGAGCGTGCGTTACTTAATAAAAGTAAATAATGAAGATGATTTTAAGCTCATACTTTATATGGAATAGAGGTATTTGCTGCTGGCTTTTACATGTCTCAGCATTGGGTCATAATACCCATTTTGTTTTGCGAATTCCTTGATTGCAGAGTATTAGAACAAAATACAATTGTTGCTTGCCATTTATGTTAGCTCATTTGTTCTGCTTCTTTCTCGTTCGTACCCAATGGGCAACATACATATGTTTAATTGCTAAATTGGTGCAATTCGGCATAATTCACGTTGATGGCTGAAGTCTTGTTTCTTAGTTTCGCAAGGTCTCATTGAAGTAGCCCAACAAAAGCAACAACAACAATAAACACAGATTCACACGTTGATTAAAAATTATTTAAAGCGTCACAAAGCCGCGGGCCACAGCTGGTCATGAGCATGAAAAATGAAAGTACTTATAGAGTAGCAAAGAGATGACCGCATTTTATTTCAGTTTTTTGCTTAGGTCCGACTCATTATGTTATCATTGATAACAGCTAACAGCCAACAGTTAACAGTTAGCAGTTAGCAGACTGTCAATTATTGCGTATACGCCACCGACAAGCGACAAAGGGCAGGAATTGAATGGCGCACATAATGAATAACGACTAACGAATAACGTGTGTAATGAGTCTGGTTATTATGACTATGTCTAGTTAATAGTAAAATAAGCCTACACTGAAAAAAACCAAACGTAGCTACGATTTAAAAGAAAACCGAAAAATACGAAATTACCAAATTTAATTGATTTTAAATCATTTTATACTTTGCACTTTAAAGAGAGGGTATAATAAGCTGTATTACTTGTATTTGGAACAGTACTTAACTTTATCTTATTTTACTCATTTGTTTAATAATTTATACTAATAAAAATACTTTTGAAATGACAGCAAATTCTACAAAACCCTGAAGTTTTCTATGGCTACAATTTTGATTTTTATAATCAATTTAGTTTTACGACTGATCACCAACATATATAATTTGATCATATTTGATCTTTAGTGTGTATAGTTAGAATAATTAGGAAACTCTTGTGTTGACTGGGACTTCATAGGCCTTATACTGCCAATGTCAAAATTATTATATCGTTCTTCCTTGATTTCAAGCGCGTAAAAGATTTGCTTTAGCTTCGCTTCAACATTTTCAATTCATTAAACTCAATTATATTATATATTAATTATATTTTTTTGATAATGCTTGATGATTTTTTTAAGTGTACAATTGTTAAATAGGTCTTACGCGCTGGGGAAGTCAAAAGTCAAATAAACATAGAGCTAGCTATGTAAGCACCTTCGCCTTTGGCAGCTGCAAGTCGCTATTCAAGTCCAAGTTCGATGCGAGCGGCTTAGCCGCGCATCCGGTCACATCGCGAGCGACTTTAAGTGGCAATTTTTCTAACTGGGGTGCTACAAATTTGTCAAACCAACAACGCTGCAAGGTCAGCAGCGGCAGCGGCAGCAGCTGCTGAGCCGCTGAATAATGATCACCGGCAGCATGCCCCAGGCCCCATGCCCCATGCCCCACACCGTCGCATGCGGTCAGCTTTCGCGTATATCATTGACCTTAAGTGATGATACGAAGTGACGTTGCGGGCATTATGAAGAGCACTGAATAAGCCAAGATTATCACCTTTGGATTCATTTATTGCACTTACTGGCAATTTGTGAGCACTGCAGAAATCTTCAGCTCCAGTTGCCGCTCTAAAGACCTACATAGACGTTGCGGCCGATGGCACAAAATGTGTACAACACGACTATTAAAGGTCAAGAAATGGAAAGCGAACAATGTTAAGTAAATCAAATGAATAAACAAATAAATAAAACAGGCCGCGCACTTTGTTAATTGTTGTATATTATTAGAAAATGGTTCAAACGAAAGACTCAAGACACGAACTGCGCGCCAGACAATGGCACAGGGCAACAAAAAAGCGCAATGTTTGTCTACCCTCGAGTCAGGTATTATGTCTTTTGTCATCAGGTTTGCCACGCCAAATAAAATTAGACATCCTCCTAACAACAAATAAATAAAATAAAACAAAACTCGCATAGATAATAAAAGCCAAGTAATTGTGGCTTTTATTATCTATGCATAGCATAACGAATAGCTATTGCCTTTCGTATAAATATTAAGGCGTAGTCTATGAAATAAGCTGATTTTTAGACAATGTTAAATATTATGAATTGTTAATCAATATGTGTGTGCACATCTTGTGGGATTTGCGCACATGTTCTGAAATGACAAAAAGCCTGTTAGACCCATTGTCTGGCCGGGGGTTTTTTTTTTGCCAATTAACTTGACCTTGGCCACTTGGCAATGAAGCCAGGAGCAAGTGCGCCGCTTGTTTTTTAGGCCCAGAAGGCATAGTGTGTATGTATATGGGGCTACACGTCCCCAGCAAGTGGCTCGACTTCAGGCACCGCCACTTGAACAATGAAGCCATCAAACTAGACAATATCTGTTCAATGCTAATGTTGAACCCACAAAATATTTTGGCCGAATGATGTATAGCATATAGAAATTAGAGTACTTGATTAATTGCGCTGCTTTCATACATACGTGTGTACACAAAAATATATGTACGCATTGTGTACTTGGATTAATGATGAGCGCCTTTTGCCTATAGCAAACATTTAGTGCTGAACAATATCTACAATATCTTAACCCACATATGATTGCTGTCTAGGTGCGCTTCCATTGTGGCGCCCATCGCTTGATTAAACCTTTATAAAGAAGACTTCAAGCAGCGCCATCAATTGTGGTGCGTTTTTCTATTATCTGATGCGGTGGCGTTTAGGCGTTTACGAGAAAAACATATAATATTTATGGTATATAGTATATTGTTAGGTGTCAATCAAGGCATCTTGTGTGTTGTCAATTAATGCAGCAAAGTCACCAATTAAGCTGCAGCATAATGCAGGCTGTTGCTTGTGGCTTGCGGTTGCAGTGCCCATGAAACCAACAAACGAAATAGATAAAACGCTGCTGCAGCTGGGCTCGTTTTAAGAAAAACATCATTTTCTGGCATATAAATCAGTTGCTGCAGCTCCGTTTTCTGCAGCTGCTATGAAAAGACAAACATAGTTTAGAAAGCTGCCAACATCAAATACGTGCTGTTAAGCAAAATTTAATTTAAGTGCGCGCGCCTACGCGATATATCGATAAGCGTTGGCGATAAATTACTCGTAATGGCATTTTGCAGTGTTGTTAATCACGCAACAGTGTTAGGTAAGGCAACGAATTTATGCAGCCCTAGCGGGTATTTAGCTTCCTAACTGTGTAAGAAATATTAGCGGCAGATTTGAATTTATAAAATTATTAATTCTGTTTAAAGGAAAATCGAGAAATTGAAGGAAGTACATTAAAAAAATGTAGCTGCCAACAAATGCATCTTAACAACAATAAACATATAAATATGAAAGGGTATAGAAAACAAACGATGCATTTAGTTAATTTCGATTGAATATTTTCTAGTTTTATTTCGCTCAGATTGTTTGGATATGCGCTTTACGAGTACATGAACTTGGATTTCCAATAGTTATTTTTTTTAAGTAAATTGTTTAATATTTATTGAATTAAACTCGTAAATTACATTGACAACTTGGGCGCGAGTTAAAATTATTTCACAACTGCATTTAATAATATTAGTTTTGGAATAAAATTTCGATTAGCAAATATTATTGCTGCCTTAACTCACGGCCATCAAATTGAAATGTACAATTTAAGTATTTTGAATAATTGCTTTATTTATATATTATGTACGTATGTATAGTAAATGTTTTATGCGGGCGACTAGAAATTCAAGAAATCTTTTAACTATACAAACACGCTCTTGGATTACATGCTAAACGATAGGAATCATGAAAATTACATTTACTTGCATTCGTTTTGTTTTTACATCTATTTGAATTTAAATTTAAATTATTAATTATTATTAATACAAGCATTTCGATATATGTATGTATTTAGTTATGTTTAATCTTACGACTACTTAAGCAATTAATTGCAATTCTTTTTATGTGGTTTTTCATTTCTTCTTCTATTCAATGCCGTCTTACAAGTGCCTGAAAAATGTAACTAAAAATTTGGCGCAATTATCCGAAACCAAGATTTAGGTTTGGTTCATATGCTACAATTAGTCGATATTTGTATTTTTATATTAGAAATAAAAATCTTTGGTTGTAACTACAACTGAAGCTGAATAATATTAGTTTATGTACTTTGGGCAGGCTTAAAATGTATTCTCTTTTGCCATAATTTCGCTCGATTTTGCAATTAACGGAAATAATGGGTATTACGGATATGGTTCAAATTGCCTGCCTAGTGTTAAATACGTGTACAAATGTTTATATAAATTATCACAGTAAAATAAATAGAAATATATTTTTCGTAAATATTGTTGTGTTGCTCAGGATTAACTTAACAGACGCCTCACTGAATTGGTTTAAAACATTTGATTTTAAATAATACTATTACATTGAGATTATTTTCGACGTAGAGCCTTGCTATAAATGTATTCTTTCCATAATGTGCTTTTAAGCTATGTTTAGTGGCCTGTATACCAAGGGACAATGCATGATTATGTAGAAAGTTAGACTAAAGTGGAGGTAGATAAATGTAGTTCTTGGGGACACCTATGTAGTTGGAGTGGGTCTGGAACGAGCTTAGGGATCGATATCGGACCATGGATGGACAGATATATCCTGAATTCGTTACGCTTGCTACGAGTCTCTTGCTAAACCATAAATCTCTCCCACTCAAGGAGCTCATTTAGCTGATCAATTAATCCTTACATCTTATTTGAAAAGGAATTAATGAGACTTTTCGTCAATAAAGCAGCGAACACAAAAAGGCTCTCTCTACATTAATAAAACAATGACTATCAGTACGATTTCTCGTTGCGTTCGAAAAGCAACGAGTTACCACCCATAGTTGTGGCTGGCTCGTCCCATTTACGTCTCAGCGAGTAGCTCATTCTTGAACTTACAGAGTGTTAGCTAACAAAGCAACGAGTGGCCGCGAGTTGCTTTTAAAAAGCAACGAGTGTCTGCTCGTAACGTTAACTTATTCATTTCGAATACATTCAAGCACGGCTCTTTCATTGAAGCTATTAAATTTATACCTATGAACTGCTCTGATGCATTTCTGTTCTTCTGGTGTGCTCTTATTGTTTGTGTTTGTGTTGAGATTATGGAAGATACGATAGTCATAGTCCACATTTTGGCAAAACTGTTGAACATGGTTTCTGTGTGTGAGTGTGTGTTTGTGTGTGATCTACTGTTGTCTACTGGTTCAGCAGCGTGTTGGTCACCTCCGAGAAGGAGAGCAGCGGACTGCCATCAATATAGGCGCCAGACGGCGGCGGGGCATAGGCGAGAGCCGTGTGCGCCGTTATGTTGGCCGGATAGAGCAGATGTTGTGCGTGATGTTGCTGGTAATTTGGCTGTTGTTGCTGCTGTTGCTGCTGATGTTGCTGCTGTTGCACCTTAGCTGATTTGCGTGTGCCACGTGCCGCGCTGCTCGAAGTGGAGCTGATGTGCGCCTCGCTGCTGCCGTTGCTGCTGCTGTTGAGCGCCTGCAGCGATTCATCCGCGCAAATGATGAGCGGCGGCGGCGGCGGCGCTGATACTGTTGCCGCTGCTGAGGAGACAATTGCCAGCTGTTGATAGGGCGAGGAATCGGTTGAAGTAGCTCCACTCAGCAGGCTGCTCACAGCGGGCAGCGTGGGCGGTGTGCGGCAATGGGGCGGCGAGTCCAGCGGATGGTGGTGCAGCGTGTAGCCAACGAGCTGTTGTTGTTGTTGCTGCAGATGTTGTTGCTGCTGCTGCTGCAGTTGGGTGTTGATTAGGATCTAATTAGGGGAAGTAGCGTTTAGTTTTAGTTAGTCTGGCAGTAGCACTCAATGGTGCGCTAGGTGTGTGAGGTTGTGTGTGTGTGGTTTGAGTGGTGCGTCTACGGTGCGTTCTAGTTGTATATTTTTTGTAGCTAGCTTTCTAGCGGCTTGCCGTGTGCTGGCCGTGGTGATGGTGGTGGTGCAGATGGTGATGTGCCGCGCCTGGCGTGGACGCAGCCGCTGCGTGATGGTGGTGCGGATGGTGGTGATGGTGATGGTGGTGATAGGCTAAATACTGCGAGTACTGCGTGTAGCTGGCGGGCGACCATACCTCGCTGCCATTGGCGGTGCCGGCCGACGCCTGCGGATGCAAATGATGCGCTGCAGCGGCTGCATTGCCCTCATGGTGGTGCTGATGATGTGGATGGGGATGTGGTTGTGGTTGATGCTGGTGATGGTGCTGCTGCTGCTGATGCTGCTGTTGCTGCTGCGTGTGAGGATGAGCATGAAGGCTGTGCGGCTGCTGTTGTTGTTGTTGCTGCTGTGGTTGCTGAAGGCTCCCAGCACAGCTGGGCGGCTGTGGGTGTGTCTGCTGCTGCTGCGCATGCGGATGAGCATGGCTGGGCTGCAACGTTGGGTGCTCAGTGCCGCTGACTGGGTGCGTTATGGAATTGCTGGAGCTGCTAACATTGGAGCCGAGGCCACGAGAGGAATGTGGCTGTTGTTGCTGCTGCTGTTGTTGTTGCTGAGGTGAAGTGGTGTGCGAAGAGGCCGAGTAGAGGCCGGAGTCGTCATGCTGCAGCTGATAGCTCTCGGGGGTGCCGGCGCTGGTTGACTTTCCTGTCAACTCCTTGTTGCCATTCCACTTGGCTGCCGCGGCGGGCTCGTGCTCATTGTTGTTGTTGTTGTGCGCATAGCTCAGCCCATTGGTGAGGGGCGTGGTGCGTTGGGGTGAGCCGCCAGCGCGGGCTGTAATGCGACTGTTTAGCGGCACACCGCTCGACTGTGTTGTGCCCCACATGAGCACCGTCTGACGCTCATAGGGATCCTGGCCGGCGGCGGCTGCCGTAGCCGCAGCCAGTTCCACTTTGGGCGTAACGTTGCTGCCATTGGGCGTGGCACCGACTCCGGCAACGGCAACAGGCGAGGGCCCATCCGAGGAGCACGAGATGACCTCCATGACCTGCGGCGAGGATTTTGGCGTCTTAAGGGGTATCTGCTGCTGGGTTGGACAGATAAATAAGTTTACAGATTAGCCGAAAGTTTGTCAATCTCCCAGAGACTCACCTGTGGCGTAGACGTAGGACTGCCGTAGCCGCTGCTGTAGCCACTGTAGTATTTGCCCGTCTCCTGCCACTTGTCGTCTTGCGCCTTGGAGGCAATGGCATAACCATCATACGAGAGAAATCCATTGGCCACATACGCCGAGGCGGGTCCACCGGTGTGTGGGTAATCCGTATAGTAGCCGCCGACGCCAACTGCGCCCTGCAGCCGGTACTGATGGAAGAGATTCTCGCTGACCGGATAGAAAGCATTGGCCGGCATGGAGCTGCCCATGTACAGATTGTCCGCAGCGGTGGCATACGGCGATGTAGTGTACATGGGATTCAGATTAGAGTAGGCGGCGGCCACAGCAGCAGCCGGATCGGGCAGGTATTCGACGACCGCCGGCGCCGGCGAACCGACCTGAGCCAGCGGCGAGGATTGCTGTGCCTGCAGCTGTTGTTGCTGCTGCTGCTGCAGCTTGCGCTTGCTGCGGCACGTGGACAAAAAGTCGCGCAACTGCGTTTTGTAGCGGCGATTGGGTCTCGTTGGCGTTACCGGCGGCGGCAGCGCGTGCGCTGTGGGCGAGACACTGGCGCTGGTCGGCGGCACCACCAACTGATCTGCTTCAGAGAAATATGTGGAGGCCAGGCCAGTGTCCAGATAGCTGACCTTAAAGTCCATGGTGCGTTTGCCGAGCAAATCATGACCCTCCTCATCCATTAGCTGGCGATGCGTGCATATGACAAAGTCCGGCTTCGAATTCTTATAAACCAGCCGGGAGCTGGTCTGCAGCCACTGCCACTCGCCGTCCTTCTTCTGATAGCGATAGGCGATCATGCCCGAGGCGCCCGTCTTTAACACTACAAGGCGATGAGATTAAGAGGAATTAGTTAAGAAATTCCACTGGTATTAGCTGCACTACTTACGCTCCTGGTGGGCGCTCGCAACGTAGGCCAAGTCATCATAGTGAACGAGATCGTAGCCACCCATGTTGACCAGCTCGGCATCCGCATAGCCCAGTATGTGTTTTCCCCGCTGATCCATGGAGACGAGAGAAAAGTCCAGCTTGTGCTTTGACTTGAACATGTTCTCCTTGTGCGGTATCTCCAGCAAACTGGGCGGTCCAAATGGCGTGCAGTAGGCGAATAGCGCCAGTGGCGGCTCCTCCGTCTTCCGATTCTGGCCGTGCAAAATCTTAATGCGGCCGCGTATGTCCAAGCGCAGGAAGCCGGATGTGTTGTCCAACAGGCAGCGGAAGCGCACCGTAAAGCTGCGCTCCAAATAGAGCGCCTTATCGGGTGCCAGGGTTTCCGACAGCTGCATGCTGGACATGTCCGCGGGCAAAAAGCTGTTCCACAGCAGCTGGCGCTGCAGCTCCTCGCGATCCTCCGAGTGGACCAGCTCGTAAACCGACTGATGCACAATATCCGACTGCAAGGAAGAGAGACAGATTTGGTGTTTGGGTCAGCTCTGGGTTAACTCTTCTCTTCTTGGGTTCAGTCAACTTTGTTATTGATTTTCGCTTTCGCTACAGTTTCGGGTCTTACGTTTATTTTTTTGGGGCGTATAAATCAAAATGCACACAAATTGAAAATGCGCCCCATGTTGGCCACAAATTGAGACATAAATTCTGCACGCGCCGGGAACAGACAAGATACGCACAAGATCGGGGGGACAGCTATACGAATGCAGCATTTGCTAGAGACGGGCGCGTGGTAATATTTACTTTGAGCACGACACTACACGAACACGAACTTAAAGTTGTTGGGCCGTTTTAGAATTGTGTTGGGCCATGCTTACGTCGAATTGTGTCGTGACAATTTTATCTAAGCTCGTGCTGAGGTCCTCTTAATATTTATTTGCAGCACGACACAACCCTAACACGAACTCAAAGCAGGTACGATTAAAAACGTTGAGCCGTGTTAGGAATGAGTTGTGTCATGTTTAGGTCAAGTTGAGTCGTGACAAGGTTGTAGAAATACGTCGTGATGACTTCATGTTGAAGTCGTGTTAGCACTCAATAAGTCGTGTTGGTTACGTTTGGTTGTCTCGAATTGACCTAAATGATGTAGATTCGTGTTTATTAATTCGAAAAAAATTCCTCTTCCTAAAGTCCAGCCCAAGTCATGTCAAGGTTGTATAGACTAATTAAAATTCGTGCTATGATCTGTTTTAAGATTGAATTGTTTATGTTTATATCGTGCTGGCTCCTGTAAGTCGTGCTTACTTTTGTAAACACATATTGATTCGATGCGGAATCTTTTTGAGCTCGTGTTAGGTTTTTTTGAATCGTGTAAGATCGTGTCAGTCAGTTCTAGCTCGTGATAAATCTATCCGTTTTAATGTTGATTAGTTGAAAAAGTCAAGGCTGCATCTCGTAAGAAAGCACGAATAGCACGCACCCACCACTAGCGCATACCCCACATACAGGAAAGGAACTGGAGGAACTAAGAGGCAGCGCTTACAGCGCCTCGCAAAACTTTCTACATACGTAAAACCAACAAAGCAAATGATTTGACCGCAATCTCAATTGGAATATACTTGAATGTGCTCGAATAAGACCAAGAATAAGCAATCCGATGGCCAATGGCCATGGTAATAGGCAACTACGTTTTTTAATTGAGCTGCCAAACGGGGCGTGTCAAGTGCCGCTTTACACATTTACAACTAAATTAAAATGAGAAGAACAGACGAGAGGGACGAGCAGGGAAGAGGCCTCCCCATAAGCCTGAAGAAAGCTAACTGCAATTTTCAATTTCCATTCGACAAGCGCCAATACAATAAAGTAGGCAAGAAAAAAAAACAGAAATACAAACAGGGCAGGATGGTGCAGGGAGGGGCGGTGTGGTGGCACAGGCTCAGGTAGTGGCAGCCACTGGCTCCTCGAGTTAGGCCCAAAACATGTTGCCCCGTTTGGGGGCAGTTGGTCGCACAGCTGCCGAGGCGTCGCAAGTTAATAATACCACAGCTCAACAATGCCACGCCCTGCGCCAGAGTACCTCAGCCATGTCCTGTCCTGCTCTGCCCGACGCCTTTGACAGCTGCGTAAGCAAATCTTGTGGCATTTGCGATTGCGCAATCCTCACGCTGATCTGATTTTTATTTATGGCCACAGAACCTGCCACGAAACGCAACGTAACGCGCCGTGCCGTGCCGTGCCGCCTGCCTGGCATCGGTGGCATCTGCTGTGTGGCACCTTCATAATTTTATTTGCTTTTTTACACTTTTTCAGAAGGCTCAAAGGGGTATATTTAGTTTGTTCTTGAAACCCAAATTTTGTTTAGATACCAATCAAGCCGGCGGGAAATATTTGGATGTGCAAATCCGGTTATAGTGAATAACTAAAACCATATATTTGGATAATGCTGGATAGATATGCCTATTTAAGCTCGTGAAACTCTATAGACTGGTTGGGAATAAAATATTGCATTATATTATATATTATCCTGATCTGTTCGCTATCCGATTAAGATCTGCATTAAGCTATCCGTTAGTTTTCCTATGTAAGGATTGCATATGATCTTAATATTCGAAAGGTCAACGATCTTTTCCGCTCAACTGTTACCTTTCATTAAATTGTGATACCTTGCATATTCTTCCTTGCATTATATAATATTTGCTTGTAATATGATCTGGCTCCCAGTCATGCAAGTATTCTTTGTAATTAGCTTTTAAGGGATTTGGGTATGGATAGTGTTTGGCCCGAGTTGTTGGAGTTGGTTTGATAGCTGATTTTGGCTGGGCTGTACTTTTGCCCATTTCCGCAATGAGCTTGACCCAAAAAATAGAAGGCAACACATGGTATCATTCATAGAAACTCTCGACTGGCTGCAGGCAATTAAAATCAATCAAAAAGATGAAGCGCCCAACCCCCGAGAGGCCGTTGTTGCTGTTGTCCACTTACCTGATGAAAACCCAAATAGCTCTCGATGCTGTGCGTGGCGAAGAAGACCTCGCCTTCGCATGTCAGTATCATTAGAAATCCATTTAGAGCCTGCAAGAACAAAAGAGAAAAGGAAAAATTGTATGTGTACGTGTGTGTGTGTGTGAGAGAGAGAGAGAGAGAGAGAAAGACCAAAATTAAATCAAAACTACGAATTAAATGTTGCTTGAGGGAAGGGTGGGGGTACAAAGCTGTCCAATTGACAAGCTAAAGATTACAGCCAGAAAATCGATAGAAAGAGAGTGAATAAGAGAGAGGGAGAGAGACAGAGAGAGAGAGGGGGGAGGGGGGTCGAGTATAGACAGCGACAAGGGGCTGATACGTCTCGTAATTGTAGTAGCTGCCGGTTTTTTGAATGGATTAATCCATCATTTCGCGGTCTAGATATAGCCCCAAAACCTGTGAATGAACCACAGAGGCAGGCAGAGAGAGGAACAGCGAGACAGAGAGGAAGAGAGAAACGAGGGTCAAAGACAGCGGCGCTAACTTGAGGCTAAAACGTAATCAGGGCTTAAGCTGGCTCATTTCATTGGAGCCACAGACAGAGACAAAGACAGATATAGAGACGGGTACAGCGACAGGTAGGGGACGGGACACGGGGGACGGGAGACGGGGACTTTGAAGTTCCACATCAAATTCAACCAGGAAATGATGCGCAATTAAATCAATGAGTTTCAACTAAATGCAGACTCTGACGCCGAGGTCCGGTACCAACATTTGTTTCACCTCACAAAAATAGTTAAGTATAGCCCATTCCCTCATGTATTTCCTCTCCCTCTCGCCTGTTCTTGTTTAATTGCAGGTTTCATTTCGAGCAATGTTGCATTGTAATTATCTATAGATTGTTTGTTTAGCAAAAATATATGTATATATCATTTGCAGGTTAGGTGTGAATAAACCTAACCTCAAAATACAAAAATGCATACTTGTCGAAAAAACGAATATTTTTATTATATAATTTTACTCTTTACTTTTCAGTTAGTTGTGAGCTTATTGTTATATATTTGATTTTTATAAGCTGCTAATGGGCGCTACGCATGCAATATTTTAATATAAAATATGACTTTGAGTGCATAACGGTAAAGTGTGTCATTCAAAATGGCGTCGCACAGTGGAGCGTGATTAATTTGCTCCCTATGAAAATCAATTTTAAAGAATCATGACAGGCTTAGAATGCATTCCGTTCTATTCAAAATACTACTAATACTAATTTAATTTCGCCCTTTACAACTGGGTGTTTATTTAAAAAAAACAAAAAAAAAAAAATTAACCAAAACTATGCGTTATTATAATCAGATTCGATTATTGTAGTTCCAACAGCTTCGGATCTAAGCTCCGGCTCTAAGCTTTATTTTTTTGAACAGGAGTGCGAAGGTTTTATATCAAAGTTTATTTTGAATGTATTCTAACTATTATTTTTTTTACTTTTGCTGGGACCCAGATCTTTAAAAGCGTTGCTGCAACGTGTGAAATGTGTGTGTGTGTGCCACATGCGGCATTGAGAAGACAAATTTGCTCAGGCTCTCATTAGTGCTGTGGGGACGTTGCGGTGTGAATTAATAAAGAGAAAGAGATACTGAAACTGCAACTGTAATTAATATGAGCGTATTTAAATATCAATTTGCAACAGAGGCAAGGACGAGGAGCGGCAACAACAGCGGCAGCAGCAGCCTCAGAAGCAACTGCTCCTCCAACCTCTCAGTTGGTTGAGACAAATGCGCGCGATTGCTGCTAATTACAGAGCAGAGCAGAAAAAAACAAGGTGGAGTAGCCACAGCCGCAGATGGAGCTGAAGTTCGAATCGGAGTGTTTCCAGAGTTGGTATTAACCGACATAAACGCTAAGTGGCGTCATCATTTAAAACGCATCAACACAGCCCGCCAAAGGATATGGATATGGGTATGGATATGGGTTTGGAAATAGAAGGAGCGTATAAATCTGGAGAGGCCTCTTTGTGGTTGTGCGGATTGTCATCAAGCCGGCGGCGGGGCAGTGCATCAATAATCTTTATAAATATGAACAACGGTAGCTGCAGTGTGCCTAACAGAGATAGCAAGACACTAAGAGAAGGAGAAAGCTAGATTGAGAGAGAGGGAGGCTATGAGAAAAACAGGATGCTTTTGATTCGCGTCTGACCATTTGCGGTGCTGTTGTTGCTGCTGATTCATTTCGATACCCTGTAGCCTAATGGGGTTGTTAATAAATATTAATTGGATAGATAAGCTTTATTTTCTTTCTTTTCGCGCGAATCCCGATGCATCGTGCTGCATCCCACCGCCCGCCCTACCGACCGAGGAACGCAGGCGAGTCGCAAACTACAATAACGAATACAAGCAAAGACAATATACTTGCTAAAAAGTTTAGAATATATGAATATATACGAGGAAAAGAACACTCCATGTAGAATACACTGTAATGCTAGTTGCGTTCATCACAGAGGTGCAGCAACAAAATTAAAGCGATAAAGGTGTTTAATCAGGTGTTAGTCAATCGAGAGGAGTCTATTAAGTCATTTAATTTATAACTATTCTTATTTATATTTTAACCCTTGCGAAAAGTTCCAGCCGACTCCATAAAGAATCCTTAATCAGCATTAAGAGTCGAGTAGTTATAGCCCTGTCCATCAGTCCTCCTTTTTCAATGCAAATAAATTCCTTAGCTAAGATAGCTTGGCAAGACTTGACAAAGCTACGTCTATATTCCCGCAGTGAATATGTAAAAATTTCAAAGGGGCTCGGCTCAGATTACGATGTCATATGGCTTTCATTGTCGATCAAATAGTTAATTTTAGTATGAGAAACTTTCAGTCGTTAAATATTTCTTCTGCAGACTCTTCAATAATGATATTTACCATGCCATCTGAATATCCAAAAAATCACTTCAATGTCGGACTGCTATATCATATAGTTCCCATAGAAGTAAACCGCCCAATATTGGAATTTATTAAAAATCTACAATACTTAAGCAAGAGTATTTAATATTCGGCATCAGGTATATAGCAATTCTTTCTTCTTCCGCCTAAAGACCAAACAGTCAGATTTCTTTTTGCAGCTTAATTGTTTTCGCAGTCTCTCTCTCTCTCTCTTCGTCTGGTGCTTTCCCAATCTCTCTCTCTCTCTTTGTGTGCTGCTGCCTTCCCCTGAAATCAGTGTCCGTCTGTGCATCAGTTTATACGAGGTAACTGTCCGAGCTGTCCGTAACAGTTGATGTGCTTTGAGGCAGCGGCGTCTTCTAATGCGTTTTTAATAATACACGCCCGTCTTGTGCGGCACAGCCACATCTACAGCCACAGCTACAGCCTGGAAGACACATGTATGTATATCTCGTACATTATATACACTTTGTATCTAGCCATTCATTTGATTGTCGGGCTGCATTACAGTTTTGTGTTTTGATAAGTTGGCAGCGATTATTTTACCATTTCCTTGGCCAAGACCTGGCCAGACAGCAGCTGACCCCAGCTTGGCCAGCTTGGCTCTTGGCTAGTTGAGTTTTGGCCAATTTGCTGTGGACCCCTGGCAGATAATTGCTTAATAAAGCCGGAGGATGCTGCTCAAATTATATCTAGCTTTTGCTAGCAACATATTTATTGCGCATACGCCAGATGGGCGCTTTGGCAAGCTCTCTCTTTCTCTCTTTCGCTCTCTCCCGTTTTCTCTATTTCGCTAGCTGCCTGTTGCTTTTGTTGCTTTTAAATCAATGTCTTTAATTAACAAACTTTTAGTTAATTAAGCCACTTTTAAGCCGCCTGCAAATGTGTGTCAACAGTTGCTGTTAAACTGTTGCAAATGTGGAGCAGCAGCAGCAGCAACAGCTGTATGTGCGTGCGAGCGAGATGGCGGCATATGCATGAGCTGCGCTGCGTGACAAAACGCCATTTTCTAATGATAATATGTGACCCATAATAAACAACAACAACAACAGCAAAAAGTAAAACTTCATGAGCAATTGAAACGGGCAACAGGTAACAAATACCTGAGCTATTAAAACTAAATATGCAGCACCCCCCAAAAGGGAACCTCCCTTCACATAGTTGTCGCTCTCTCCCCGTCCAGCAGTGGCTCAAAAATATGCACGGAAATGCACAATTGTGCAGCTCGGCAATTAGCTGCACTTCGCCCATTCGCCGGAAGACAAAAAAAAAACGAACACAAAAACAAAACAAGTTTTTGGCTTGCATTCAAATTGCACGGAGACACACGACTCGTCTGAGTCCTTGCTGTGGGTCCTTCTGTACGCCCTGCGTATACGTATTGCAGCTGCATTGTGCCATGTGCATGTGGCAAATGCAATGTGCAGTATTTTGCATATGATTTAGGTGTGTTTCAGAGTTTGCGTAAGTATTTGAAAGGGGGAACTTGCCAGTGGCGCCATCTATTGTTCAGCGGCAGTGGTAGTTAATATAGTGAAATCAAGGATGTACTTTAGATAGCAGAACTGAATAAATTATTGTTCTATAAAATCAATCAACAATGTTTAGCTATAACATACTTGAGAGTCCACGAACTTTTTAAAGACGAGTCGAGTTAAATGCAGCCATATTGATTTATTTGGGTTCATATTGAAGACATACAAATCTTAAATATGTCCCAGTACCTAGCACACAATCGAGATAGGTGATGTTTTGAATCATATGTCGAAGTTTGGATTCTCTGCTGTTTTACGAAGCTCGACGTCTTACAACATTAAGGTGAGTTTATGAATCGAACTGTCCGTAAGGTTTTTAGGTCGATATCTTGCGAATGATAGAATCAAAGAGTTCTTATCCAGCTAACGTAATTAAACAGTAAATATTAATAGAATTGTAAGTAGTTTCATAATTGATTTTATATGAAATAAGAAGCTGTTAAAAGCTACAAATACCTGTGCGTTACCAACAGAAAGGAGACAATTCTTAAAATGTATTTTAACGTTGCATTCAACTGGGTTCCTTTTTACTGTGAAACACACTTTATGAGTGTGTAGCAATGCCATTTTGGGGGTGGGGCTGGTTACGGCTACCAGTTTTAGACTTTGACATTGAATTGTGTAGTGCAACCGAAAACAAAAAAAAAAAACAAAAAATCAACAGAAAACATAAAACTTGCATAAAGCGCATGTTGCACAATTGCGTGCCTCCGACTCTTTGTTAGCCCCCTTCTATACAAACCCTCAGTTGGGGTACTGTCTGCCCCCTGGTCTAGGTTTGGCTGGGTGAGCTATGTGTGCATTAAATTAAACTGTCATGAGTGTGACAAGTGCATATGTTCGCGCCTGGCCACATGCAGCAACTGCGGCCCACAAAAGTGCTTTAATTCAGCAAAAACATGCAACTTGCAACATGTGAATGCGACTATGTGTGTGTGTGTGTGTCTGTGAGACAATTTAATTGAAGTTTGACCAACTCAGCGCGTGGCACATAAACTTGAAATGCATAATTTGAGTTGGCTGCGGCTGGGTTGGAGTTTGCTCAACTGGCCGAAATTAATTATAAATATTATGGTAACACATGTCCAAGCGCCAATTACACATTGATCAACTGCACACGGCCAACAGCAGCAACAGCAACAACGAGATCTTAACTAATTGCATCAATTGTTTAACAACATAGAAAAAACGCAAAAGTACGTGAATTCGAAAATCGAAGCGCTATGAACTTTGCGTGTCTTCTAAAAACATTTATCAATATGTATACGGTTATGTGGAGATATTAATACTATGCAACCCTGCCCCTGCCACCTCTCTCAACGAGCGCTGATTGATTATGCGCCTGACTGGCGCGGCATATCCTGGCGATGAAGCCATCAAATGGCCAAACAAATTGATGAAGACAAATTAAGCTAACCAACGATAGGCCAAGGGAGGGACGTTGCAGCTAAGGTAAGTTGGTGGGGGCGGGGGTTAAAGTGGCGACTCACCTGCAGGAACATATCACCATCCAGCAGGCCATGTTCGAAGGCGCCCAACTCGCGCGTCCTGTAGCCATCATGTGCGTGTATGTGCGGCAGGACACCGTTCTCCTCCTTATCCTTATGCATAACAACTGCAAAGAGAAAAAGAGAGAGGAAGTTAGTGAGAGAGAGACAGAGTTAGAGCGAGTTAGTTCTACAGCTTAAATATTTATGAGCTCGAAATTTTTATATTTTATTAGCCATTAATATTTAAGACGTATTGCTGCTCCATAAATAAACTCGCTCGAAAACGTTTTACAGCACCCCCCTCCTCTTCCCTTGCTTCCATCTATAAACCCTACCATTTTGAAACCATAGTTACTTCATAAAAATCCAATATAGCTATGTATTTATACTATATAGTAGACCATAATACACAATAAATATTTACAGCTGGCATGGAAAAGTACTAAAAATTGTTTATGGTGTCATTGTAATATTTTATGAGTCCCGCCCCACTCCTCCCCCAAATGCCCTAACTAGAGCCTGGCACCAGCTTTCATTCTCATACAATATTGCACCCCTCCACATACACATAGACACACACACACACACACACACACAAGCACACCATACAAACACCCTTGCGCCAGGACGCCGCCATTTTTGAAGCAATATTTTTGGGTTTTCCTCCTGGGCGTTGGGGGTTTCCTTCCACATATTTTCTTCTGCGCCTCAAGTTTTATAATAAATTTGTCACAAAAATTGATTTATGCGCGACAAACGATAAAAAAAAATGAAAGAGAACAAACAAAACTAGAGCTAATATATTTCTACAGCTCTAGGGCTGAGTTTTGTCTGGTCTTGGGACAAATTTTTTAGGCAAATTTATATGCGACTTGAAATAAAATATGCCACGGCAGCTGATGTCATAAATTATGATTTTTATCAGCGCAAATGGAAATAATAAAAATGAGAGTGAAATGAAAATATAAAACAAAAACCAAAAACCAGCCAAATATATGAAGAAATGAATAAAAACTAAAACCTAATTTACGCATGGCAAAGCCCAAAACTAACTGCAAGTCCAAAGGCCCGGCAACCCTTGGGCAACAACCACAAGAACAACAGGGACTACAACAAGGACTACAGCAACCACAGCCCAGTCACAGGGTCTCTCATTTCAATTAGCAGCTAGAGCTAGAGCTACACTGAGCGAAATGATTTAGATTCCCACACTTTTCTATACAAAAGCTCAGCAGAACTAGACTTTTTTGTTCTACTATTATTATTTGACAAACAAAGAAAATCTCTTGTAAAGCTTGTTCGCTTTTGGGTTCTCTGCTTTTTTACTTAAAGCAATATTCTAAAAATCTATGCTTTTTGTATTGCTTTTACTAAGAAGTCTGAGGGACGGCGCCTTTATTTTCTATTTGTGCTGCTTAAGTGAAGACTTGGAAATGGAGAAATGGAGATGAATTTAACATCCCTCGCCTCTAGTACACATTCATGGTAAAATCAGTTTGCTATAGTTCATAATCAGTTTAAGGTAGCTTGATATGTATATGGGGGCAAAAACTATATGTGTATTTTATATTATTTAAGGAGAATACTAGCTAGTTTTTCTCAGTGTACTGTGGCTTGGCCTATCCCTGACATGGCTTGCCTGGGCTCTTTTCTAGCTAATCTGTGCGCTGGCTTAGCTTTTTATCAAATTAACAAAAGTGCCTGAGTGTAAGTGTGTTTGGGTGTGTGTGTGCTGGTGTGTTAGAGTGTTCATTTTAGCAAAAGTACGATAAAACAAATAGTTGAACCTCCAGGCTGGCCAGCCACGTAATGTGGCCAAAACAAATTGCATCATGTGCGTGCGATGCCCGAAAAGGCTTTTAGAGCAACATTTTGTGGTAATTATTCATAATTTAATTAGGCTCAGTTTACATTGCGACTTGTACTTCTTATTATTACAGTTACATACACTTTATATTTTATTTTCTTGGCTTTTTTATTGTTGCGGTAAAATTATTCACGTGCATAAACACATTTAATTAGGCTCAACTTTAGCTGGGGGCAGTGGTCTGGGTTTAGGGGCTAGAGTAGGGGCTGGTGGTTGGGGGTTGGTAACAAGTCTGCCGCAATTTCTGGGCGTGCTTGGGCTTACTTTATTGCAAGCTGTTTAGCATAAATCAAATTTACGACATGGCTTCAAGCGCGCTCATGCCAAATGGAAACTGCTTGAGCGGCCCTCGCGTTAGAGCTCGGAGAATGCGCTATTTCACGTGCAACATAAACCAAAATCCACCACCAGCGACCACGATGCGGCCGGTTCGCATCACCCCCTCGCCGTCGCTTTGGTGGATGAACGTAAATCTTACAAAGGCGGAAAAGCGCAAAATCTCAGCTAGTTGCATGCGGTCGCAGGGGCGGGATCGCGGGGTATACACATAAAAATGGCGTCGACTAGCCCGAAAACCCCACCCAGCACACTGTGAAGCAGCAAGCAGAAGAAGGTCGGAAAACCAACGTCGGAAAAGCGTGCGCGCAGACGGGCTGCAAGATACAGAGCAGCGACGCCGACAGCGATGCCAGCTGCGACGCCTGCTGGAAAATGGCGTCAATTATGCGCTGGGCGTCCGGTGGTTGGGGCTGCGATTGGGGCGTGTCCCTTGGCACGGCATGGCGCAAACAATGAATAAAGTTTAAATTCTGACATTTTGGCAAATATTTTTCGTGCTCATAAACAAATATGTCATGGAAATGTCAAACTCATCAGCCCAATTGATTGAAATAATGACAGCACTGAAATGCTAGCCATTGTCAGGGGTGACGAGAGGCGCGCTTCAGCGGAGACGGGAAAGGCGGGGAGGAGAGGATAAGGATAAAGAAATGTTGAGCGTATATGCCAATTATGACTAGAATAAGTTTTAATAACTAGACACTAGTCTTCCGAATATGTATTAGATTCTAATAAGTTAGTGAGTTTAGGTTAAACGCAGCTCCCATAAATATAAGAAAAGCTGGGAGCATGCGTCTCCCAAAGGCTAGCTACACACTCATTTTAAGTATAAATATTCACAAATATCAAAACTCTGCAGAGTTTTCATGTACCTAACATTCTTTGTAAATAGTGAGATTAGGCTCGTAAAAATGTAAAGAACTTTTCTGTTCTTAAACTCAGAACATATCAAATATTGAGGTTGAGTTACAAAAAGTTTGTAAAAGACAAATAATATTACAAAATTACGCTTGATAATCTATTTTCGTATTCTGATCTCAGACACTTGACAATATAGTGAGAATATAATTAAAATGGAGCTGGGCAAATTTATGTAGATCACATTTTTCCTATTTACAGGAATTTATCAATAGATATTCTTAATCTTGTACATTACTTTTATATGCATATATTGGTACTTCAAATCATAATAGAATAAACAATATAAAATCACAAATATGTTAACAAAATCAGTGAAAAACTTAAGAACTGTGCCATGAAAATGATTAGCCTAAATTTGTGTTAGGCATTTGCGACATTTCGCCTTATTGATTTAGTTACATGAAAATTAGAACTTACTTCACTCAGGTCTTTAAACGCTTTTTGGCCTGCTTTAAATTGAACTAGGCCTTTAGATTATGTACCTGTTGTTGTTGGATGCGAAAGGGCTAAGTTAAGTAGGGGTAGAGAGGGTTCCATTCGACCTACGTAAGTCACGCAATGTTGTCTGCCACATTCTCGCGCTGGGCACAACTCTTTACCAAAACCCAACACGGCTGAGCGGCGTGACAATACGAGGCGTCTGGCAACAACAACAACAACAACAACAAGAGCAACAACAGCTGACAACAACAATAGGCACTACCTTGCACGAGGTAGGACAGTTGTAGTTAAAGTGCATCGCCTGACTGATTGCATGTCCGCCTGCGCCTCGGCGTTTTCGAGCCATTGTCTGGGTATAGATTCCACAAGCCCGGAGACCAACCCCCCTTGCCCACTATGCCACTACGGCACTGCCCCCATGCCCCTGTCCCCAGCCCACTACTACTAATGGGCCTAAACTGGAGCAACGCACGAAAGTCATGTATATGCACGAAAAATTGGCGAGTCTCGGAGCTCAGTATGTTTATAGGTTAAGAGCTGAGCCTTGGCCCCTTGGGCCATGCGATTCGCATAGCACATGGCCATGGGCTCCATTAACAAACGCTTAGCGGCAATTTTGATAATAGCATAACTGCCTGGCCCAATCCCCAAGACCCCACTCCCAAACATATATAAGCCAGGCCAAGTGACCTTGTTAAAATAAGCTGGAGGGTGGGCTTAGGGGGTGTCCACGCAAACTGATCCCAAGCTCATGTGTCGCATTTGCAACAACTTGAAATATGCTCAGAGTTACCACACGGCGGCAATTGCAGCTCGCTTCCCACGAGGCCAGATCCCAAAGAGAACTAGATCTCAATAACCAGTCGTAGTACCAACATGATTTGCTGCCTCGCAGTCTGAATAAAAATATCTTTCATTTTATAATCATGTGTGGGAACTCTGGTTGGCAACCGACGCGTTCCCACTACCAAGCTCCAATTACCAAAAGCGGCAAAAGTCAACTGCGAGTCATTCGCAACCGGCTCCATTGTTCGTATATACTCTGATCTATATGCATTTGGTTAATTTACTGGAATTAATCAATAAATTATGAAATTGATATACATTTTGTGTAGGCGACCGCCAACAGATAATCGTTTTGCGCTTTGCAAGAGGACTCGCATTTGCAAAAGAGTTGTTTTATAACTAAAGTGAATTTAAATTTTCCATTTAAGTCTGTTTGGACATAAGCGCCCGATTGCTTGATAAATAAAACAAAAACATATTTTCCATTTCCAGAGCATTTTTTTTAAGACCTTGGTCTCACCTGAAATTAGCTCTTGAGTCGACTATCAAGTATCTTGGGTAAGTGGATTTAAATTCTTAGTGATGCTTAGGAGATTTGGGACATGTCCGTTTGTTTCATTACCGCAACATTCCAATAGCGAAATCTCTAAATGATCCATTTCTATTTAAAAGCTTCAATTATACAATGTTCTACGTAGACTTATTGTTCTTAAGATAGTTTCACAACTGACTTTCTTTGCAATGAATTAACATTAGCTTATGCAATTTGGAACATACCATTCTGATAGGAGACTGAGATGGCGGTCAATTTGCTTATTGGGCAATTTAATTGCTTACTTGGGAAACGGGTTTAGGCTGGGATTGGAGTTTAGTTAGAGGTTTTGCAATCGCCATTTGGAGTGATTAAAGAAAACTATCAATGAGAGCATTTCAGTTCATTTTGCAGTTAATTACGCAAGTCATTAATTAGGCAGGCTGGGGCAGGGGACCCAGCCCTTTGGCAGGACCAAAGACTCGTAACGAGAACATTAAAAATGTACGAATTACGCGTCTTAACAATTATTCCTAGCTATAAGGCGCCAATGCTTGGCCTGCAATTATAGCGTGGGTGGTACGGGTCAGGGGCTGGGGGCAGGCCAAGACAATGGGCCATTAGCAGCGCGCTTTAATTATTTAGTTGTTGTTTTTCTTTTTGTTCTAGTCGAGTGTCTATGTATATAGAAAAGCAGCTTTGAAAGCCTGGCGAAAATGAAAACGAACTTTGCTTTTCATCCATTGCTGCTTTTTTTGCCCGCCTTTATGTTTTTTTCCTGGTATAGAGAAAATTTGTTCGCCGTTTCGCTTTTGCGCAAGTCAGGGTCAACAACTGCCCCTATATAGATGCAGGACGCTGATGTTGTTGCTGTTGTTGTAAGTGTCTGCCGAGCAACCCCCTAGTGGGCCATTTAATGTGTATATACATACGTAAATACTGGCACATAAGCATAGAACAGAGCTTTATATAGAGCTCTCTATACAAATATATATTGGATATCTAAACCTATTGGCTGCTTAAATTAATTGCATTGAGTGCTTAAGTTTTGGAAATCCCACAAGCCGTGACACACACACTAACGCTAACTCCCACACAGTCACCCACACACACACACACACGAACCCGCTGCTGCAGTCTTCCCCTCTACACCCACTAATTGTAAATTAAATGATCCTGATAATATCCGAAAAACATCTAGACAAACAAATAAAGCCAAAACGTAAACAAACTTTGACCTGTGCCGCGACGTTTTGTCAAACCCTCGGCCTCCGCTCTCAGGGAAAACATTAGATGGACAGAGACATGTATATGGCTGACAGGACACTGGGCACTCACGGGGGCACACGGCGCAACGGTTCTGGTCCATTAACCCGTCGTCGTCCTTTTTGGCTCGGGCAGAATGAGCAAAGGAAACGCAGCGCGTGTCTGTTTTTAAAGCGAGTGGTTGTTGGTCTCTAATCAAAGGAAACTTAGGATCGTATATTGACTTAGCACAATGCAACGGGCACGTGTCGCCAAAGACTTGAACTGGCCAGCAACTGTTTGCGATTGCAATTAACGCCCAACTGCGTTTTGACCGCTAATTGTCAAAATATTTACTCGAGTATTTGCCGTAGTTTGTTTGTGTCCTGGCACATGAAGAGCCCAGCCCAAAAGCTGGACACACATGAGTCACAAATACCGCACAAAGAGTCCTCTAATAGTCCTTTGGTTGCTGTCCCTCCACTTTTCTTTCAATTTTCGCTACAATTTTTGCACTTAAACTTAATTAACGTTGTGTGCGGGCACTTCATCTTCCTTATTTACAAATAAACAACCCCCTACCTCTGCCCCTCCCTCTGAACCGAGGCAATTAAATTTATGTCGTTAAACAAAGCGAAATGCCAATGAACCAAGTCGATAATAAAGTCATCAAAGCGGGCAAGTTCGTTCTCCTTTTATTGCATTGTTTTAATTAATTTAAATTAGAGGCAAAAAACATCGAAATATTTATGCCAAAAAGCGAAGAGAAAGGAAAAATAACAACAAAACCAACCCCTACACTAAGAGGAATATGTGTGTTTGTGTATGTATCTGTACGCATTTGTGTACATATGTTTCCCCACTCGTCTGCTTCGATTTACCTGGCCCAAAAAATGTTACCATTTTTCCATTTCTTTTTCGCTTGGGGCTCACCTTTTATTCATTTGCCAGGCGGACCAGAAAAGCAAGAAACTAATAAAACTAAAAACAAGAAACACAAGATAAGAAGAAACTGACCGTTCTGATACACTTGAAAACAAACTATGTCAATAAGATGGAATATTACTTCCCAAGAAAATGTTTAGCCTAGCGAACGACTTGCTGGGACAATTAAAGAGCGGGAATGTGGGTTCAAGCCTAGAGATTGTGGTGTCTTAATCGTAGATAGGTTGATAGCTTATAACCAAAGAAATAAACAATATTAAAAATTAAGTTGGGAAACATTCAAATATTATGAGCTGCAACATTTTAAACTGCTCTATATGCTTCTGATATTGTTGTCACTTTACTTAATACTATTTACATAATATAAATCAAAGAAATATAGATAAGAATTCATCATAAATCTGTGAAAGGTGCTACTTCCGTATTGTTTAACTCCCGTTCCACCTATGGCATCCGTTAAACTATTTCGTACTATTTAGTTAATTTACATATTTATATTCTGCACCAACATATACTTAATATGTAGGAATTTTAGTTGAATACAATTTTTAAGTTGTTAATTCTTTAACGACTAAGCTTGATAAAAAAGGCAGACATTTACTAAAACTCATCCATACCAAGTTCCATTAAGCAGCTAAAAAAGTAATAGATTTATTAGTGTAGCAAAGTCCTGTACATAAAACAGATATATATAATACACCATGAGCTACGAGTATCAAATGAGAAGAAGACAAACTAAATTGTGAGTTTCTTCTGGTTCTTTTGTTTTCCCGGTACGAATTTAATCCGTCAACAGGACTAATTTCGCCACGTGCGTGTGTTATTCCCGACAGTGTGCGGGTGTGTGTATATGTGTGTGCGTATCCCTCAGCTGGGACCAGGGCTAGAGCACAGACAGAGAGGAGCAGGACGCCCCGTAGCGGCGTTGAAATTAGTTTTGAATCATTTATGAGTCATGTTTAGGGTCTGCCACCATTCAGTGGCAGTTACAATGTGGCAGCAACTCTCTGGCAATGGCAGCATAATCGATTTAATAGGTCGGAATGTAACGCGCCGTATGGCAAAAAGGCGAAGGCGAAACCATTGCCCAAATGCTCCTGAGAGGCCAGCCATATGGGATGGGTCCGATATAGAAGTTCGAGTCTGGAGGTGGGGCTCAGCTTTCACCTTTGCCCAAGTCCGTGCGGGTGCGTTTTAAGTTTTTCCGAGTTTACCAACCACCCGCCTTCTGGTTAGGGGCGGGGCGCTCATAATACCCATTAAAAATATTCCCCGTACTCACCTTGAAAATAACTTTTGGTTCTTAAATAACTAACGGACAGCCTTAGTATGCTCAGTCGATCCAGTTTGCTAAGTATGTTCTGCTCGAAGGGCAGCAGCGAGGCAAGCAGATCCAGTTCGGCATTGAGGCGCTCCCGATGCCGCTTTGATGGATTGCTCTTAGTGACGCCATCCTTGGGCGGCGGCTTCAGGCTGCAGGAATAGATGAGAGTGAAAACGAAAATAAATTTCATGCATTTAAACGTCGAGTCAAGCTTCAAAACGCAGCTGACGGCGTGAACTAGGAAAACAAAACAACAACAGAAAAGGTCAAAATTATTAATTGCAGTTATCAGTTACCCCTGGATAATAGGGTCGGTTAAGCCAGCTAAACCACCCTCAGCAGCAGCAGAGTAGGGTTCGGGGTAGCACCTCTTTGTGGCTACTCGATTAGCCATGGCCACTTGATCTGTTAATTACAACAGCAGCCCCGAAAATGGACTTGAATTATACTTGTTGTTCTGTTTCCGCGAATCAAATCATAAAGTCCACCACAAATTAGAACACAACAATCTGTATGTCCAATTAAATGTCATAAAAAACGCGGTCGAGAATCCCAGCCAAAGCCATTGTAAATCTAAATGCTGTATGTGATATGATACCTAGCTGGCGCCCGGGCAGGGACCAAGACGCAGCTGTTGCGGTTCGCCAATAAAGCTCATAAATGCAAAAAGCGCTCGAGTCTTTTATGATAGCTGGCTGCTCGACTCCGCTCCTTGACCATCCAGCTCACTTAAATCCGCATTATCTTAGCCATAAGCGTCTAAAGTCGAGCGATTTGCCATTTGGGTGAGGATTTACATAGCTTGAAAGCATTCTGTACATTTTTTCCTTTGTCTCTTGTTTATTCTCTTATTGCTTTTTGTTTTATGTGTTTTTAGCTCGTTCTTTCGTGTTTTGTTTTTAATCATATTTTGTCTCATCATTTTCATTGACATTATTACAAAGTTAATTGTGGTTATTAAATATAATTACTGTTGTAATTTACGAGCGACCCCTTTCAGGGCCAGCGCCAACCCACATAGCCCGCTGCCCTGTATGCCCTACCTCCTCTCTGTTTGCTCTTTAAAAATTTGTCGTTTTTTCTGTATATCGTAAGTACATTGAATATTTTCATTGTTTTACGCTGATGTTTTAGTTTTTCAAAACTTTTTGCTTCGCTGCACACACATAAGCACTCACACACATACACACTCAAATATTGAGCACACACATTCACTTAAGCTGAGCACTCGGGCAAGTGGCACAGGACTAGCACAGGACATTGTCGCGTTTGCACGTAAAAAGTTGAAACGTATTTAAGTTAATTGCCCGACATTTTTTGCCTCTGCTACAGTTTGGCACTTTTTTTGAGCTGCCTTTCCACGTAATTGTCAGTGGCATGTCCGTTCGATGTCAGCGCCAGGACGACATGTTCCTCAAATTGTTAGCGGACCGCTCAAATCCCCAGCTGCAGCTGGTGCAGGACACCGCTCGGGCACCAGCTTTGACAGACGCCGTTGAGGTGTGTGCCCCAAGTGCTTGGGAATGCAATACTGTCGCCAAAGATAATGATGATGATTCATTCATTTATAGCGAAGCTAGGCAATCCTAAAGTCTGGGGTCTGGACTGAATACTTGAAATAATACAAATGCCAAGTAAGATTTCCAGTCAAGTCAATTATGCAGCACAAAAGAAATCGTTTAATCTGTTCCAAGCTCTTGGCTGCCCGAGCGCCCACCCAAGTTGCAAGTCCCAGCTCGGGTACCTATTGGAATGGCAAGCCCCTGCTCGTGCCTGATATACCAAATAAAATCCTAGTAAATAGGCTTTCAGTCCTAGAACATGCTTAGCCAACTACAAATTGTTCGCTGGTCTGGCATCCAGCCAAATTGCACGTGCAGCCAAATTGCTGCTCGGGCGCCTTCAATGCTAAACTGTCAAATATATACATATATGTTTATGCATCCATACAAGCGAATGATGATAAAAATGAATTATTGTTAGGCATTGGAATGCCAAATTCGAAAATAAAAATCCATAAAGCACCGCAAATGCCAAATAAACGTTAATTTATTTAATTAAATGTGAGCCTCAAAGTTTTGAGCCAATTACGAAGTAGGCAGAACACAAAAGGCCAACAAAAAATGCTGAATTTAGAAAATTATTAGTGTCTGGCGGGAAGGTACGAATACGAAGCAGATGAAACTGCGGATAAACGACAAATCGCTGAAGGAGTGGGTGATTATATAGATGCCTATATAGCATAAGTATGATCACAGATGATGATAAAACCGTTAGACGCATTGGAATGCAATTTGAATTCAAGACAGTTTCAAGTCAAGGCTGCAAATTATGAGAGCGAATGAAAGGATATAATACTAAATAACTTAACAGCAAATTAAGGACCACTCCAAATTGGGGACATTGCGGCATTCGCCTGCAACGCGGCCGTTGAATAAAATATATAATTTTCTTATTATCTATAAGAAGGCAACGGGACTGCAAAACTAAGCGGCAGCAGAAGAAACCGCAAGAAGAGCTGCACAGAAACGTGGAAGGCTTGTAATAAAATGAATTCCATAAACAACTTTCCCAAACAAAAAAAAAAAAAGAAAATAATAATGAAAGAAAAGGAAAACGAACAAAATAAGAGCTTTTGTCTGCTCTGTTTGATGACTGGGGCAGGGCGAGGTGTGCTGGAAGTTTTTGGGGGTAGACCATAAAACGTCGCTGCTGAAAATGGCGTAGAATCCTAGCGAACAAAGGATAAATGCATAGCCAGAGTATGTGTGTGTGTGTGTGTGTGTGTGTGTGTGTGTGTGTGTGTGTGTGTGTGTGTGTGTGTGCTGGCTACATTTCTTGCAAAAGTTTTAACCACACAACCCAACCCTTGCCCGACCCCACCCTGCCTCCTGCAGCCCATTTCATTTAGCTTCGCTCATTCCATTTTCCTGCATTATTTTTGCCATTTTCGTTTGGCTGCTTTTCTTTCTGTCAGAGCTCGCATTTTCCCTCATGTATTTTTCGCTTTTCTTTTTTCTCCTTTTTTTCCCCATTATGAAATGAATTGCTTTTAAAGAAATTACAATGCGGCAGCAACCAGAAATTGCCCCAAGGGCTGCCATTTGGATTTCGATTTCGAAAAAATTGCGACGCCCCCAAAACCAAGGAGGACACAGTGTCCTTTAGCTGCTGCAGTTTCTGTCCAGGCTGTAAAAACGAACCTTAAATTGGGCGCTGCTTAATGCAACTGCAGCAGCTGTCGATGTTGCAGTTGTTGCTCTTGTTGCTGTTGTTGCTGTTGTTGCTGTTGCATGGGTGTCAGGGGTCGACAGCACTGGGGCTTTGGGTTAGCCGGCGTCAAGCGTCAGCCAATTGTTGTTTTTGTTTCAGCTGATGTGTTTATAAACAAATGACACGCAATCCTTTGTGGTGTGGGCGACGTGTGTGTGTGCCGGCACGTGAGCTCAACTCGTTTCAGTTATTTTGCATGCGCCAAGCATTACGCATACGCAGCGTTGATCTTTTTTGCATGCTCAATTTGGCGCCAAAAATCTCGGCTTACAGCCCACACACACACACACACACACACACGCAACCTGCTAATTCATTCATACATGAAATAGTGCGCTCTCTTTTTACTCAGCTAGCCGTCTCTATGCGTGTGCCCCATTGTGCTGCGTGCCGCAAAACTGCAGCAGCGGCGTCGGCAGAAGTTGTTGTCGCTTCTGCCGCCGCCGTCTGGCAGCTAAAAACGCAAAGTGGCGTGTCTCATGTCCGAAAAAAAAAATTAACTCAAGTCGCGTAGGCGTCGACGCAACAATTACAACAACAACAACTGATACTACTACAACAGCACAACAAAAACAGAACAACAACAACAACAAAGCGGCCACTTTTACTGCATGGCACAATTTTTGCAAACTAATTTAATTTTGCATGTTGTTGTTCTTTATGTTTTTCAAGTGCATGTTGCTCATTAAAAACTAGCAAGTGGCATTTGCAACTGTGCAACACGTTGAAAACCAATCGCGACTGTTTTGGCTGGCAGTTGCTTTCATAATGTGCTTTATTTGATCTTAATTTATATATCGATATTTGATCAGCATCAGCAGCGGACTCAATATAGCCATTTCTGTTCAATGCAACCTTGACTTTCAGCTTGTGCAAATATCTTTTTAAAACTTGACACAGTTCCTTATTTTGGGTATATATATTCCACATTTGCCAAACCTCTGCATGGGCATTAAGACTTTGCCAAATCAAATAACTCTACTTTCTTGTGATTTGTTAAAGACATGCTTCTCCCTTATGTGCGCAGCCCCATTTAAGATTAATTCTTAGACTAGATACTAACAACGTTTTTATTAGATATTTGATCAAGCAAATAGTTTTTAAGCATCCCAAGATAAGTTACGAGTTGCTGCCTATACGTACCAAAATAAAATAACTACATAAATTTAAGGTTCATACTCAACTAGCATGCAGCTAATACATTCATGGAATAAGTTGTTAAACCAACTGCAAAGATGAGTAATTTGGGAAACAATATTTAAATCTTGTGACTCAACGTTTTCGGCATACTTTGTGGGAAACAGATTCTTTTTAGTCTGCTCTGAATGTAGTTTGTTTGGTATTTCAATGAATGTCACAATTAATTGAATTTGCATGCACAAGAACGACAACAGCAACAGCAACAACAACATCGAATAAGAGTACCAAAAAAATCCCATTCCGCAAAATGTCAAACGAGTGAAAATGTCAAAACAAAAGTTAAGCGCCATTTAAAGAAGCTATCAGCGAGAAACATAAAATTCAAATTGCTACCGTTGCAGTCGCAGTGGAAGTGGCAGTTGCAGTCACAGTGCCACTTAAAAGGCCAACAACAACGACAACGACAACGACAACGGGTGAGACAACACGTTGACTTAATCTATGGATCCACTTAATGGATCTCCGCCAAATTCACGCATAAATTTGCCATTGAGTCGGGTGAGAAAAACGTAGCGCTGAGCTGTTAAATTTAACGAGCAGATCCTTCGCCCTGCTCTCCACGGAGACGCCCAGCCTCAGCTCATTAATTTTGTCAACCCGAAAACAAAGGCCAAGAATCGCAGTAGCTGCCCAGACGCAGGCGAACTACAAAACGATCGAAGTGAGATAAAAATAA